GATATTTTCCAGCAGCTCGCGTTGATCAGCGTTGCAGAGAATGGCGTTGTTTTCCTGGTACTCGGCACCCCACAGTTCGAGGGCAGTGATCGTGGGATCGCCGAGTTGGAATTCCTTGGAGAAGATAACGGCTCCGGCGAAGCCTGGTTCCACCAGCTCCTTGAGGACGTTGCCGTTTCCGCCAGCTCCCTGGTCATGGATGGCCAAGATGGGGTTTTGGTCGCCCAATTCTAGACAGGCTCGCACCACGCGGTTCAACTTGTTTTCCATTTCGGCGTCTCCTCGCTGTACAGCGTTGAAGTCGAGCTCAGCATCTGCGGATCCTTGTATCTCTACGGAGCTTGCGGCGCCGCCACCCACTCCTATCCTGTACACTGGTCCCCCGATCTTGGCCAACAACTGACCACGAGCCGGTGGCAACTTCTCGCGCATGGAGGCCGGCATGGTGCCCAGGCCGCCACTAAACATGATCGGTTTCACGTACTCATCCCGCTGGCTGGCATCAGCCGCACTGTTCAGTCCATAGGAGAGGGCAAAGCCGGAGATCACTGGCTCACCGAACTTGTTTCCGTAGTCGGAGGCGCCATTGCTCGCCTCTATGAGCACCTGAAGGGGTGGTGCAAACGTGGGAGGGTATTTATAGTCCGAAGGCTCATACGGCTGTTTGTAGCCTGCAAGGATAACGAAATCGTGATGTGTAATACATTAGGAAGAGAATATTTAACTAATAACAATTAAAATCTCGACTGTAAAAATGCTCACCTGGAATGTGGAGTGCGCCAACACAGTAGCCAGCGGTGCCGGCGATCGGCACACCTCCTCTGCCCACGCCCTGGACGTCGCGCAATCGTCCGCCAGTGCCTGTAGTGGCTCCGCTGAAGGGCGCCACTGCAGTGGGCATGTTGTGGGTCTCCGCCGTGAAAATCAGGTCGGACTGCACGCTCTGCAGACGCACTGCACCGGGAGCGACCACGGAGGACGGGACTATGGCCTGGTGCTCGAATCCCACCATCGCGCTGCTGTTGTCACTGAACTTAATGGTGTTGTTGGGGTTCGTGTGGGCCTGCGTGTCCATGATCATGCGAATCAGCGACTTTGGCTGCTCCACCCCGTCAATCACCATGCGTCCGCGGAAAAACCAGTGGCGCGAGTGCTCACTGTTGCTCTGGGCGCAGTCGAAAAGCTCAACAGTGGTGGGATTGCGGCCCAGCTCCTTGGCGAACAAGTCGTGGTAGTAGTCCAAATCGAAGTCGTTGAAAGCTAAGCCGAGTTCCTGATTAATCCGCTCCAGTGCCACCCTTCCCTCCTCCAAAACGGGCACGAAATGCCAGTTGGCCTGACGCTCAGGTAATTGCTCGTCAAAGCTCGCCTTGGGGGTGTTCTCCTCGGTGTACAAGCACTGGGTCATGCGGTCGCCTAGCAGAGGAACAAACCTGGCTGCCTCCGGCACCTTCGAACCCTCGCCAAAAGTAACCAGATAACGCGTGGAGGTTTCCACCCGACGCACCTCGGAGTACCCGAGATTTTGGAATATGTTCACGCAGTTCGTGGAGTACGGGGTGGAGAAGTTAAAGCGCGGCCCTATCTCCAGGAGCAACTGCCTCGGCCCTGTCGACTGCAGGGCAGGTTGCCTGGCCAGGCTCTGGCCATTGCTCAGCGGCTGCTTCACCAGCCACACCAGCAGCTCGTCGAGGGCCAGAGAATGCGCTGCTTGAGCGCTGTACTCCAGATGATAGCAGCGCTCCATGCGCACGGACACCACGGAGGCGTCCTCCTCGCGCAACCGGTGCAGGACAGCCTGCTCCTCGGCCGCGCAGTGGGCGTGCACATCGTAGTAGCGAAGGATGACCATGTCGTGGCGCTGCAAGAAACCAAATGCTGATTGAGTACAGACAGTGTGCACTCCTTGCTCGTCGAATCGAGAATGATCTTGGGAGTTGCAATGCGGTTGACGACCAGTGGGCCGTGCCCACGCTGTGCTGGGGGTTATCAACTGGCGGCACCTATACCACAGCCCACAGCAGGGGATCAGGTTACAGCCGAATGATGGAATCGATGGAATCGGCTGCAGCAATCGCTGCACTGGCGTCACAACTTGTTTTTTGTTTTTGCCCGGCTGGGAGTTTGCTGATAAGCCAGCGTAAACATATTTTCCATCGCGAACGGAAACCTGCCCGGCTGAATGGTCAATGGGTTATTGTAAATAATTAACGCCACCTACCCCAAATTGAAGCACAATAACACTGAGCGGAGCACACGTGCGTCTCAATTGCAAATTACGATCGTTTTGGGGCTTCAACCCGGTTTCCCCTCACTCCGCGGCTCAATCCACCACACCGCCCAGTGCTGAACAGCGATGGGGCCTACAATTCAAATTAACCCTTAGACGGACACAGCTTCAAAGCTTTCGCTCATTGTACTCATTGCGTAACATGCTAGGGTTAATGCGAAGGGTTCAACGAACCGAAGAATTTGATTGTAATTAAATGCTTAAAAAAAAACACTAAATATTTATAAAGAAGTTGCTTCTTTTGATATGTAAGGTATACATATTTATTTTCCACAAAACCTGTACTATAAACGTATAAACATAGTGATTTCATCAATGAAGTTGTTTCCAAGCACCCACCTTCCCTATCACCAAACCGCTTGTTTAAACACATTCCTCGCAATTGTTAGACCTGATAAGGGATATATCAGTTTCCAGCTCTTCGATGCTAACTATGCACACAGTTGTTGAGCCGTCGACGATTTCTAGGCACGTGGGCCTGTGATGGCATGCGAATAAAACAGACGCCAAAAATCGCCAATCACTTATGTATGTATAAAAAAAACCCACAAATCGGCTTTCTTGTGATTTATTTATACACAGAATGCTCGAATGAATCGCTGCAGTTGCAGTTCTGAAGGTAATACGAATGCAAAAGGCGCAATACATGTGGGCAGCGAATTAAAATTAAACAATTGAACTTGACACTGGCTGGTCGTAGGCAAATATGTCGTTTAATTGCTCCTCTTGTTCTTCGAAATCTGCGGCGGTTTACAAAGCTTACATTGACTATGTACTTTAGGTATATTGATCTGCATAAATGGGGGCCAGCATTAGCGTGAGTTCCTTTCTTTCCAGTTCTGCCATTTGGGGGAGCTTCTTATCGGCCGTCGGTCAGCAGAGATGACTCATTGAGTAGCCGGGTCGTTCGAAAGGGAGTTATTGTTATAAAATATATGCATTGAATGGCTTGAGAATAGAAATAAGTGTTGCTGTCCCACGTGTTGCTAGATGTCCATCTTGCCATCGATTAATTAGTTGTACTAAAACGGCGACCGCACGCCATCTAAATAATTCACTACTAAACAGCCCCCGCGCGACCTTGCACTGTCGCTTCGTCGCCACCTACGTAATGTGCATCGCCTTCGCCGCCTTGGCGGCCTGCGCGCTGATCTCGTCCATGCTTTTCCGCGCACTCTCCGTCACCTCGTCGATGGAGCGCCGTGTGCTGTGCAGAAGTTCGTCGGTGCCGCGGGCGATGCCCTTGACCTCCGTGTTGATCAGCCCAATCACCCACTCCAGGCCCTGGCGTCCCTTGCCCGCATTTGTGCTAATGGTCGAAGTAAGCAGGTCCTCCATGTAGTGGGACAGCGGCACACCGAAGACGGTAACGGTGGCCTCCTGCTTGAGCAGCGTCTTGCTGGCGTCCGATGGATGCGGCTCATAGTAGAGCACCTCGTCCACGCTGATGTTGCGGCAGAAGGTAAGGTTGTTTGTCTTCAGCACCATCTGCTTGCGCTCTGGATCCACCGTGGAGCGCTCGCTGGCGAAACACGTCTTGGCCGTGCCGATCAGCGCGTGCGTCCACTTGGGGAAGTACCACTTGGACTGCACCAGTCGATGCGTGTGCAGCACCCCGTCCACCACACGGCGCTCGACCACGTCCGTGCCAATGATGGAGGGCGTCATCGGGTTGGGGTACTTGCGCCACGCCGCCTGCGTGACCGTCTCCCACGGGTGGTTGAATATGTGCTCCGATGTCCAGATTTTCATTATGCAAGCGCCGTTGTCGTCACCGTCGGGATGTCGGGCTGTATATCCTCAATGGGCAGCCGAGATGTGGGCTGTCCTGCGCCTGCGGGGGCAGACGGAATGGAATGAAACGGGGGAGCGTTAGCTGAAGTACACGGCTCGAATTTTGAAGGCAATCTCGAAATTATTGAATATTTCCGAGACAAGTTACGAGAGCTGACCTTTACTCGTGCTGTGCTGCTAGAGATGACACTGGCTCCGATAGGCCGGGCTATCGCGGTGGGGGCGCCTGGGCTGGGATGGACACACTGGTGCAAGGAAAGAAAGTGCACCCTGTAGCGGTAACTTATTTATTATTTAATTTACTAAACAATCTAATGGTTTCATTCTGCCATTGCACGGCAGCAGCCTATTCCGGCCCGAAGGTGCGTGCGTATTTCTCGTAAGGGCGCTTGTCCAATCGCTGCAGGCGGCTCTGCACGAATTCGCGAAACTTGTGCATTACGGCGGCATCCGACGCGATTAGTCTCCTCTCCTCATCGATGATCTCCACTATCTGTTCGTCGCTGTCCTCTGCCGCCCGACGTGCCACCGAACACTCCAGACGGGTGCTGATCTGGTTGACTATCTTCTCGCTCTCGTATTCCATTATTTTGGCCAGCGCCTTGGCCGGCGTGCGCCTCGGATTGCGCGTCTCGGGTATGGTGTCGGCAACCAGGTCCGCCTCCTCTCTCAACCCCAGCGTGTGCAGCTCCTGCTGCAGCTCTGGCTCCTGATTTGTTTGCTCAATGAACTCCGTCAGCGAGGGCTCATCAGGATGCGATTCGCTGAGTGTCGAATTGTTTTGAAAGTTCGTCAGGTGGAAGGTGCCATTGGTGTCGTAGAACTTGTAGCCCAGCATCTCCAGCGCTATTTCCGTGAGCAGGTACGACATTTCGCAGGATCCTAATTTCGTTTGTGTTTGTTTGCAAACACATCGAAAACATGGAATTCGGCACCCAGCAATCGATATCCGGCGGCGGTGTGGCAGCACTGGCTATCAGCTGTTCGCGTAGCGTCAATTGTTTCTCGCTTTGCATTTTTTACCTGTTCATCACAATAATAAGGGGCGAAAGAAGGAAATAGGACACCCATATACGCTTCGAATGCAGCCCGAGACAGTGCAGCCATGAAGATTAACGAGAAGAACCTGTATGTGTTCGCGAGGACGCCGCCCTTTGACATGGAAGGTATGCCACCGAGCCCTTTCGCTTCGCTCGTCTATTAATAATCATAATCCCATAATCACCGAATCGCCTTGCAGGCTTCCTCAACAAACGGGGCGAGGTCAACAAGGCCTTCCAGCGACGCTACTTTGTGCTGAAGGGCAATTTGCTCTTCTACTTCGAGTCGCGCTTGGACAAGGAGCCCCTGGGGCTCATCATAGTCGAGGGCTGCACCATTGAGCTGTCCAACGAGGTGGACAACTACTGTTTCGAGATCGCCTTCAACGGCAACCGCACCTACATACTCGCCGCAGACAACCAGGAGTGCATGGAGACGTGGATGAAGGCGCTTACCTGCGCCGGCTACGAGTACAAGCGTATCATCCTAGCCGAGCTGAAGCGCCAGCTGCAAGAGATGGAGGACTCGAGAAACAGTGAGACTGCACTGTGGCTGATCCCAAAATTCATGTAAACTAATCCGCTGCGTTCTTAAACCCACAGAGATGCTCGGCAGCGCCATTGACGGACCTCAAAGTGGCTCGGAGAGTGCGAAGCCCAGACCGCCGCCCAGGCGGACGAATCCATTCAACAGACCCGCTCCTCCTCCGCCAGACAGCTCGCTGAGGGGCGGGGTAGTCATGTCGCCCCTGCCATTTATCAACGGATACTTCGGGTCAAGCAACGCGCGGCTGCAGCAGGAGAAACTTATGAGCAAGCAAGGTATGCACAAGATTCCTACATAATGTAAATGAATGTACAATGCTGTGCTCTGTGGGTATAGTTATCGAAAATGAACTGAACGGATGTGACCAAATCGGTAGACGAAATGAATCATCACTTTTTGGGTTTTTATGGAGATGAATACACCGACCATCTGCATAGATTTTGGTTTTTATTCGTCTGATTTTAAGGATTGAATTTTAAATAGCTGACCACAAAACTATATTACAGTTTAACGGTTTACGAAATTTCCTAATAGTACTAAACACTTAATACATGTCACTTAATTAATACATCACACGGCATTTGTGCACCCAAAGCCAGCTGTTTTGCCCCAACACAACGTGAGTCTACCGTTAGTAAGAACTAGAGATAAGGAGAGAATGCTCCCAGTATAATCCGAGGTTCGATTGCCAGCAAATCGTTTTCATTTACTCGGAGCCAATCTAGTTTAGTCAGCGAAATGCCAATGGGCGACATTTTCTGCAAAATCTGTTGCATATTCCCAAAGCCAGGCTACAGGCACTTTCTACTTGCAGATGCTAACGGAAACGGAAGCCCCAGTGGAACGCCCAGGGCCCCACGCCGTCCCACACCCGCTCCTGGTATCGCGAACAGCGTCTTCTATCCCGACGCCCGGGATCAGGGAGCGGTCAACAACAATCACAGCACCATCAGCGGTGCCGAGCGGCAGCGTCGACAGGTCAAAGCACTGGAGGAGTTTGCACGCAACCACGAGCGCTTTCGCAGGGAACTGATGCCAGATGTGTCCGCTTACCGCGAGCGCCAGGGACAGCCACTCATACAGTTGTGATCTAGGAGTGGTCTGCGCCAACAATGTATTACCCGTTTTGTGCTAAATCAAATACGTTTCAAATGAACTATGCTTAATTTCCATACATGTTTGTTTCAATAAACAAAACTTTAGATATAATGATTTTCCGCGATCATGGGACATCTGTGGTTGACACACTCAGTAAAGTGGGCAAACTAATGATAATACTGATCTTATTTGGGTTAATTATTATTTTTTGTAATTTTTTTTTTTTTAATTTGATTATTTTTTAAATTTCTTAATGAGTTGTAACCTTTGAGGACTTACAGAGTCGCCATTAAAGATTAAAAAATGTTCACGGAATATTTCGAACAATGCATAAAATAAACAAATATTAGATGTTACTTAAAAAATGAATATTTTACAAAACACGATTGACACAAATACAGTTTGAACGTTGGAAACAATCGATGGCTGCCAAGAAAAAATATCGATGTTGCTTGCATTATGGAAACATCGATACTCGCGAACAGACATCGATATATGTTCCAGCTCTGTAACCTAGCGTTGTTGTTTGTAATTTTGCTGTGAAAAGTAATAAAGCCGCACACAGAACTGTAAGTTCCCCCGCTAAATAAATGAATTAAAGAAAAGGGGGTCATCCCGAAATGTTTGAAAGACTACAACAAATCAGTAAACTAATCTGATCCGTTAAAACCGTGAAATGTAACTGTGTTTGTAAAGTGACGCTACCATTTTTAAAGGTGAATTTTGCGCCGGGTATTGTCTTTTCTGTAACTTCGGCTTAGGCTTTTCCAGTTCAGAAGCTGGAACAATGGAAAGAATTCGTAGTTTTTTTTGTAGCAAGAACTCATTTATCAAAGGCTAGAAATATTCACTATATCTGTTGGCGTCGCTTGCTGCGGCTTTCATTTTGTTTCTGTGCAAAAACCACCACAAACACAGGGCCACACAGACGCGAGCACACCTAACACACACCACCAAGCGGGCGAGAGCGGCTTGCTTGTGAAGCGTTTATGCGAAGCCGAGCTGGTGATACACGGCATTCCCGTTTCGAAAATGTACATGAGCTGATATTTTGAAACACAAAGTCAAATTCTATAAATAGAATAGAATAACTATTATCATAACCCTGCCTACATCGCGCAAACAATGGTTTACTTCGATTTCACGTATTTAGCACTTCATGAAGATTATAGCATAAACACAGTGCTCGGTACGCTCTGCTGCGTGCGAAGTCTTTCCGGTTTTCAGGGCTTTAACTTATCTTATACATTGCTCCCTTTCAGCCGCCGAGAAAAGAGATCCAGCCCAGTCCAGTCCACAAACAACACAAGTAGCGAGAAAATGTCGGCCAAGCGCAAGGCAGGTGGCAACGGAGCCGGGCCCAACAAGCGGCGCCCGAAGAAGAAGGAGTCGGACTATGAGGACGAGTTCAGTGACGAGTCCGACGACGACGGCGTGCAGCAGCAGGCAGCGGCCGCCAACCAGATGGAGGTCCTTATTCCCCACGACGACCTCGATCCGCCGAGCAAGCTTCCCGAGGACTTGCTGGCCACGCTGGAGAAGACTGCGGGCCAGATGCTGGTCGCCGGCATGGTGACCTGGGACCTGACTGGCAAGCGGGACCGCAAGAACGTCACGAAGGTGCGCCCGAACCTGTACAGCTTCCACCGCTTCACGGAAGAGAAGGTAAGCTATTCTGGGCAGTCGTAGTCCACTTGATTCCTGATTTCCTCTCTATCACAGTACCGATATGTGGCCAGCGGACCCAGTGCAGCTCACACCATTCTCATCAACATGGACCGCAAGGCGCTCGGCTTCGGCCGTAATCCCAGCGGTCAGCTGGGACTTAGCCAGGACATAAAGTTGGCGGAGAAGCCCACCATTATTCCGGCCCTGGAACAGCTGAATATAGTGCAAGCTGCAGTCGGCCGGCACCACACTCTGTTTCTTACTGACACGGGAACCGTATACGCTTGTGGAGAAAACAAGTCCGGCCAGTGCGGCGTGGGAAATACGCATGCTAACATTTATTCGCCCACGCCAATTAACTATCGAGGTCCGCCGATCATTCGTATCGGGTGCGGAGCTGAGTTTTCTGTCATTCTGGACATTAAAGGTAGCTTGCACACATTCGGGCTGCCGGAGTACGGCCAGTTGGGACACAATACTGACGCCAAGTACTTTGTCAACGCCAACAAATTGTCATTCCACTTCGAAACGTCGCCCAAAAAGGTCGTTTTGTACATAGAGAAGAGCAAGGAGGGTCATGTAACGCCAGTCGATGGCGTCCAGATAGTGGACTTTGCTTGCGGTAATAACCACACGGTAAGTGGAGATTAATTCTTCACTTTCATCAAGTCTGATGTATTTTTTACTCTTTAGGTGGCCATCGACTCTAAAAAGCGCGTTTACAGCTGGGGCTTTGGCGGTTTTGGGCGTCTCGGACACGCAGAGCCCAAGGACGAAATGGTACCGCGCCTAATGAAGTTTTTCGATACACAGGGACGGGGTGGGCGCAGCGTCTTTTGCGGCTCCACTTTCAGTCTGATCGTCAACGAGCTGGGCCTGCTGTTCTTATTCGGACAGAATAAAAAGACAGGCGAGGCCAACATGTACCCCAAGCCAGTGCAGGATCTGTCCGGCTGGAACATCACCGACATTGGCTGCGCCAATACATCGATTATGATTTCGGCCGACGACACACTGATCGCTTGGGGCGCATCGCCTACGTTTGGGGAGCTCGGTATTGGGGAGTTCCAGAAGTCGTCGACGGTGCCCAAGGAGGTGCCAAAGCTGGATAACATAAAAATACCTCAGGTGACCATGGGTTACTCGCACACGGTGTTGCTTGTGGATACCACCCACGAGGCCACTAAGCAAAAGTACGAGAAGATGCCCGAGTACACTATCGATGATTAGGTGGTGTGCGGCTTGGCTTTCCAAATGCTGCTACAAACACGTATACCGCTGCCAACAACAATACTGCTCCACGTAGGAAATTCTGAGAACTGATCATCGAAACTGCTGCTACTTATCGAAAGTGAGACTCAACACAAAAATCCAGCAAATTGTATGCTATAAGTTAAAAGATCATTATTACGCTAAACTCGCTATCTACATACTATACGATAATCTCAGAAAACGGAAAAAAATTGATTATGTTTTCGGTTTCTAATTTATTCTCGTAACTGATACTATTCCATCCTGATCCTGTTCCCCTTCTATAATTTATTGCCGCCCACCTTTAGGCTTAAAAACAATGCATTAAAAGCATGATTTGTAATTTTGTAATTTTTAATTTGTAATTTAAACGTAAAAAGTTACAGTATTCTGCATTCATTTCGAACAGAGTGAGCAAAAGCAACCACAGAACTACAAAACACGTAAATTAACGAACTAAGCGCATAGGTTACATATAAAAAGTATACCATGGAAAAATCCAATACCAGTTGCAACTATTAACTAGAACATCATGCATTTTAATCTTATACAAAGGAATATTTAAATAAAGAGAATGTTAGTATTTAGACTGCCCTCGTTTACCATTAAATGATTTCAGATTGTAGGCTTTTGACGGAATAGTAAATATGAAAGATGCTTATTTATAGCTGGCAGACATATTTAAAATCGAAGAGGAATCTTTATGGAGGTTTGACTGTAGAGTGTGTGTCGAGTCTAAGAACAAATTGAAATCAAGGATTAGCCTGACTGGGGTGGCTGTAGGTCAGTCCGTCGAGGGATGTTTGGCGGTATCCCCGATTTCTGACCTGTGCCGAATGAGTTCCCAGGCCCAGTACCAGTCGTCCTGCCGAATGAAAGCGAAAGTAAGCAAGCGAAAAGCTCCGGCGCAAAGCTCTCAATCGCTCTCTCTGCAAATCTCTTTACTCTCTCGCGCGCAAGGACTCTTGAATTTGGAGTTCGACTTTGCGGCCGGAGCTCCGGCGGATTTTTCCCTGGCACAGTCTTCCGCCGTGGTCCTGTCGAGTAATGTGCGCCGCTGAGGAACAGTCCCTGCACGTCGCGCCTTGAGTTTCATTTTACCTTTTTTTCGCCCCCACCCCACCCGACACTCATACATACAAACACCGACCGCACACACACACACCCACACAAACACACACACACGCACGCACATTTGACAATATCAACAAAATAGTTCGAGGAGTTTTTAAAGCGTTTTTACAAGTGTACGGTACGACGAGTCATTCTGCACAAGAAATATATATTCGCTAAATGTAGTACATATGTATATTGAAACGGCGGCGCAGCAACGATCTAACTGTAAATTACAGTGCCTTCCATAAAAATAAAGCACCGCAGCACAACATCAAGCAGCAGCAGGATCAGCAACAAATGCCACACTACACTTCGCTAAGGATAACACGGTAGGACATTACGTATACGCAGTGGGGGAATCCTTGTTTATGCACATGTATGTATGTATGAATGGCTTGGTTTGTTTGCGAACGTATGCATGTGTGTGTAAGTGTGGTTGTGTGCAACATTATTATTCGCTGTTGTTTTATTAGTTATGGTGTCATTTTTTCGGATGTGGGTGTGTGATTGCGTTGTCAGCCACCATCGCCTGCGAAACTAATTAGAAAGTGTCCTGCCCAAAATACATTCTCCAAGTGGAGCCAAAAATTAAGGAGGGACTTACATACACAAAAATACTATAAATTCCTTGTATAATTATTCCTCATCGCGCAGATACAAAGACTTGTTTGCTGGCCATTGTGGTGGTCACGAATAGGCCAACGAACAAGAAGCCTGGACAAGGACCCCCGGCATCCCTATCCCTCCGTCACCCCCCAACCACCGACCACCGACCATCCACATCCGTCCGTCCGCCTAATACGAATATAAAAGCTGCTGAAATCAATAAAGACAGACAAAAAGCTACGGGCTGGCTGACGTTAAAGCCAAAGGAAAGGAAAGGCAAGGCGCAGGGATGTGGAGGATGTGGCTCTGGCTGTGGCTGTGTATCCTGCGCCTCGGCCAAGACAGGACCACCTCCCCGCCCGCCCACTGCTGTGTGTGTGTGTCGTATCTGCTTGTGCCACATTAAGTCACCTGTGGCGGACACTTTTCATATCGGCAGCAACAACAATGGCAAATCTCGTCATCATCGCTTTCTCTCGCTCACCTCATTGGCTCTCCTGGCGGCCATCCTGCTGCCCCCCAATCCAGCTCCTACCCTGTTTCATCCTGGCTTTTGTCACCTTTTGAGCTTGTTGCTGACGTTTGAGTGACGCAAATTAATACATACACAATTCGTTTAGTTCTGGGATCGCCGCAATACGCTTGCCAGCAAAAGTAGAGAGAAGCCCCAAGTCGATAGCCTTCAAAATCGGCGCCTACCCAAAAGGCGTCAGCAGTCGAATATGCTAATTTGTGACTTGCAAAATTATTCCGCCCGATTTGATACGCCACAGAATACTTTTTGTGGTGCGGCGTGACCTAAATATAAACAAAGATCAACACCTAAATGCTCTGGGAATCATCAATACGGAATGAAGTCAGATGTGCAGGGGGATCTAAAAAAGCAGTAGTAAATAGCCTTCCATGTCTTCAGTGTGTGCATATGGGTACTTTTCTCTCGGTGTATCTTTAATATGTCTGTTGTTGTTAAAGGTGAAGAAGTGTGTTCTTGGGGCTTCCACTGCAGGTGCCGTCCTTTAAAAACCAGCCGAGCAAGGACTTTATTGTTCGGCTTTCCCGCGCAATTAGGCGAAAACTTTCCCAGACATGCTTTCTCGATGGGGCTTAACGTCAGCGGTGCAGCGATGGCAGTGACAGCCATCATCTGAACCAATTGTCAGTGGAGGGCGCTGGAAAAAGGGGTTCCATTTCACAAGTGTATTCTATAGATCTAAGACATATTAATTAATTTAATAAGCGGCTAAAGACGTAAACGCTCTTTCCAAAAATACTACCCAATTAAACAGTTATCCGATTTGTATGTAGGAAAATGTACTGCCATAACATGCAAATCATATGAATCACCGCATAGAAATAGCCCACAAAGGACCCTTTCCCATGTACTCTATCATGAACACGGTGTACACATTTAATCTGCGACTAATTGCTGCTCAGTAATGAATTGATTTTGATAGCCCCAAAGAGTCACATTCCATCCTGGTTGCGGAAATCCCCGAAAAGTAGTCGAACCATTCGCCCCTGGCGAAGTAGCCAGAAACAGAAACAGCGTCTCTGATTCTGGCAGGAATTGGAGGGCAGAGGGCGGACCTTGTGGTGGCTTGTCGAGTGCACAAAGTGCAAGGTTGCGTGGCCATTCATTTCGCTGCCGATGGGTGGAAGTGGTGACGGTGGGTAGCCACCCACCGGGTGGCGCCCGGAAGGAAGAGCATCAGTAATCTCTAAGTGCGCCTTGTTCGCATTCGTACTCGTGCCCGCATTGCATAAGTGTCAGTGTCAATGGGGCGGGGATGTGGCTGTGCTTGTGGGTGATGTGGGTGTTTGTGTGGGAGAAGTGTCCTTGTTGGCAGACAAAAAGACTGATGATGATGGCATTTTGTTACTTTGCTACCTTCCTTTGTCACTCGCCGCACGGCAGCTCCTTTAGTATGAAATGAGGCGACCAGGCAAGCGCCTCGCCATCGAAGATCGCCCAAACAGAGTACGGACCAGGACCCGGCGACAGGCACAGGCACAGGCACAACACCTGGCAGGATCATCGAAGTCGGCAAAGGATTCTGGCGCGGGATCGAAAGCATGAACAGGGACAATCTGCAGCAGTGGTGGGAGAACTCGTACCGGCGCCATCATCCGGAGCCCACTTATGATCTTGGCCTGGACTCTGCGGAGCTGCACCTCGCCCTCCAGGAGCCCAACCAACTGCCAGCGGACTACGACTACGGCAACTTCAGTCTGGACAATCCGTATGACGTGGATTCGGAGCACTCCATTACCCCGCTGACGCTGCTCCTTCTCGCGGTCAGCTATGGCCTGGTGGTTTTCGGCGGCGTCGTGGGCAACTCCACTCTAGTCCTGACCCTCTGCTCTGCTTCCTCGGTGCGCCTGCGCAACCCGCTGCTGCTGGCCGTTTGCATTGCCGATCTCCTGGTCACCGGCATCTCCGCTCCGGTTACGCTCCTCAACCTCGCGATGAACCGTCGGACGCGCTCGCTGCCCCTGGTGCTATGCAAGGTTATACACTACATACAGGTGAGTCAATTAGGTTTTAAAATTAATAAGTATTCCTGCTAAAGCAAGTGGAAGCTAGCGAAATAACTGAATAAACCCTATTATGTCCAGGTCATGCCCGTTTCGGCCAGCACTATTTCGTTTTTCATGCTCTCCCTGGACCGCTACGCCACAGTGAAGCATCCGCGATTGGCGCAGCTCCGCCAGCGGCGCTACTTGCACGTCTCCTTGGCGCTGCTCTCCTGGTTCGCCTCAGCGGCCATCAGCACTCCCTTCCTGTTTGCCTACAAGATCATCGCCAAATCGATGGTGGTCAAGGGCGGTGCGGCGGCGAACACCACGCCGAACCCGGTCAGCATCAGCTGCACCTCCGACCTGGGCGCCAACGCCATGTTCATGTCCTTTATAATATTCCACACCATCGCCGTGTTCGTGCTGCCTGGAATTGGCGTGCTGCTCAACCACTACGGCGTCCGACGCAAGCTCTGCGCCCTGTCGCTGACGGCTCGGGCTGCCCACGGCGAGCTGCCCCTGCCCATTCCCATCCTGCGGCGCCAGACCCACATGGTGATCGTGACAGGCTGCCCCAACGCCCAGCAGGCGGCCTGCGGTGGGGGCACCACGGTGGACGACACCTCGAACGGGAATGGCACGGGCACCGGCGGCGGTCCAATGGCCGTCAGTCCAGGAGACATCCAGCTTCACACCCTGCAGCCGCGCCAGCCGGGCTCCGCCGGGTCAGCCCTCGAACCGGGCTCCTACCGCTCTAGCAATCCCATATCGCCCAGGTGAGTCATAAATATTTTTAAACGTATTACAAAAATCTCTGCTAACAGGGCGTATGCTTGACACAGTCAGAAGCTATTAGTTTATGTTAATCATACGTCCCGTTTGACCTTGACCAGAATATATTCTGTTGTAGGTCCCTCATTCAATTACGAACAATGAGAATTAGCGTATTCATTGCATAAGGGTTGCTTTAAGTTGGCAAAAAGTATATAAATATTTAACTACTTAAATACCCTTTCAGGGCCATGAGGGAGATTCGCGCCCACTCGCAGCGACAGCGCATCAACCGAGCAGGCAGGGGACCAGCGACACCAGGCATCCCACTGCCCCAGACCTCCACGCTGCGGTCGCGAAGGCACCTGGCCAACATGCTCATAGCCTCGGCAGTGATCTTCATTGCCTGCTGGTCACCGCACGTCTTCTGCATCTTCTACAAGAACTTCGTCAGCAATCAACAGTGCAGCCAGACCTCCGTTTACTTCAGCCTCCTGCTAGGTGAGTCCCGATACCCAATCCGAATCCGTATTGGGACTGACCAGCTCCTTCCTCTTGCAGGCTACTTCTACTCGGCCATCAGTCCGGTGATCTACTGGGCGCTCAACCACAATTCGCTTCGACAATCTCCCTGCGCGCCCATCATCCGCCTGCGCTCCATGCAGAATTTCCTGAGGTCGCGCTTCCGGACGCACACAGCCCCGCCGCCTCCCTCGTCCACCAACGAGGCGGCCCTGGGGGCCTTCAACCCCAAGCTGATCAAGCTGACACCGAAACAGTATAGAGCTCAGGCCTCTTCGCATTATCTCTACTAGTGTGATACTAAGCTAAACTTGATATACATATATACACATTTATATACACGCATATATAGTATATTTTTTACCTACGCGCCCCACCCAAACCCCCTAGTACCGAAGACCCCGACCCTCTTGTAGCGAACTCCGAGCCCGAACTTTGACCCAACCGAACGAAACTATCTAGATGTTTTTCAAAAGCTCTACGCAACAATTGCATAATACGAAAGATACTTGCTACATATATAGAGTACATACTACCTTACATAGCAGTGTTAGTCGACGCTTATTTACACGATGATGTGCGCCTGAAGCTATGCAATAAGGACACCAGAGTCCTGTGGCAACTTTCGCCTATAACGAGGAGCACTGGTAACGAAAGCAAGTTGAAAAAAAAAACATGGAAAAAATACAAAAATAACGAAACCCTTCTAGTGACTTGTTCGAATTGTTGTTTAGTCTTTTAAGCTGAAATATTGTACTATGTTCCTTCTCATAGATAAGCAATAAGTGAACGCTTTAAGCCAAGTTAAACAAACGGAAAACGAATCAAACTAAACTAAAACTCGATCTAAAACTTTTAAACGATTTAAACGTAAACTCGAATGCATACCTAACGAAACATTAATAATTATATACATACATATGCGACTACATACAAATAATAACTAACAAGTGAATAACTAAAAAATGAATGTAAATGTGAGCAAAAACAAAAGGATAACAATTAGTATTGTATACATATTCTTCGACTTAATTCTTTATACACTTTTTCTAACCATTTTTAATATCGTTCAGTAAACTGAACACAGTGTATAGCGCAATTCAAGCTGCTGGAAATATTCGCGTTTCAGATGCTAGAGCCACCCAAAGGATCGGACTCTGGATCGGGTTTCATTTCACTCCATTCAGTGGCCACCGTTTTCTAATTTGCCAAACTTTTTTACATGCTCCCCTGCGAGCGACTCTCTCCTTACTCATCCTGGTTTTTGGTTCAATCCTTGGAGTACCTTGTTTAGAGCCATCTGAAGCAGCAGCTGTTGTTATCGCCTTGGAATTAGTGGCTATGAACATTAAGCTAACTTTAAATAACCATCGTTTTGTACTTTACAAAATCGTCATCGAAAACAGAGAAACTATGAAAATACTATAAATATGCTATCTAGTACTTCATTAGTTGTTTTATTACTTAATTGCGATCTTGGGGTGGACTGTGAAAATATGTAGATGCTAAGCATCTAAATCGACTGTACGCCCATTAACTTACCAAACTAATAATCACCAGCTCGTATATTAATCGGTTATTGGTGATTCTGATTGGTGATTATAATGACATTATCAGACATGCCGCCTGGCTTCAATGACTTGGCCGATCACCACGGAATGTTGCATTAATAATTCATAAGTAGATATTTAAATGACTTTAAATCAACGTGTTGCATAATGCAATTGTGGGAACCGGATGGTGTTCTGAGCATAGAACTTTACAGCAGAAAATCAGTCGTTCATCAGCCAGCTAAGCACAAGGTAGCGAAACGTATAGAATTTTCCAAAATGCTTTACAAATCTCTAGTGCTCAGCTTGGCGGTTATTTTATGTATTCCGGCACATTCCGATGCCAAGGAGTATGTCACTAAAGACAGCACTAAATTATCACTATAATGGGTACTTATTTGCAGATATCAGTTCATCCCCGCTCGATGCGAGGAGCAGCTTGAAGTCGGTCAGCAGATTGGCGGTCCCTTAAGCATATGCAGCTTTCCACCAAACTATGCAAAGCCAGATTCAGAGGACATTCAGGCTGTCATCAAACACATTAAGAGCTTGCAATTCAATTGAGTTACACGAAAATGCGAATAATTGAAACGTTTAGAGAACTACACACTTTATATGCATCAAGTCGCGCTCGGGTTAATTAAATCAATAAAATTAGCTATAACTTTGTATCTTAATTGCTGGCGCGCTTTGCATGCAATTGCATACGTTTCTCGATCTCGGGCCGGAAATGGCGAATGAGGCCCTGGACTGGCCAGGCGGCACCATCACCAAGCGCGCAAATAGTGTGTCCCTCAATTTGTTTGGAAATCTCCCACAGCATATCGATCTCAGCGGGCTGGGCGTCACCCTTAACAAATCTGCATCGATAACGGAAATTGGCAATCAAATTTGCTATAATTACATGTAGATTGCGGACTTACCGAGTCATGATCTTGTTCATCCAACCGATTCCCTCTCGGCATGGCGTGCACTGGCCACAGCTCTCATGCTTATAAAAGGAAATTAGCCTGGCAATCGCCTTTATCACATCCGTCGACTTGTCCATAACAATGATAGCCGCAGTGCCCAGCGATGTCTGAGCGGCGATTAGGCCATCGAAATCCATGATCACATCGTCGCAGACATTTTTGGGTATAATTGGGGTGGAAGAACCGCCGGGAATGACGCCCAGCAGATTGTCCCATCCACCAGTGACACCTCCGCAGTGGCGCTCAATCAACTCCTTTAGCGGGATGGACATTTCCTCCTCCACAGTGCATGGTCTGTTAACATGACCCGAAATGTTGAAGAGCTTAGTGCCCGAATTACGGGTGCGCCCGAAACTGGCGAACCACACACCCCCACGGCGACAAATAGATGGTGCAACGGCAACGGTCTCCACATTGGTAACTGTGGTAGGGCATCCAAAGACGCCTACATCGGCCGGGAATGGCGGCTTTAGGCGTGGCTTTCCCTGCTTTCCTTCCAACGATTCGATCAGTGCGGTCTCCTCGCCGCAAATGTAAGCTCCAGCGCCTCGGTGCATGAAGACGTCGAAGTCGTAGCCTGTTCCACACGCATTCTTTCCAATTAGACCAGCCTGGTAAGCCTCGGCAATAGCCAATTGCATGTTGGAAGCCTCGTTGTAGAACTCGCCACGAATGTAAATGTAGGCAGCCTGGGCGCCCATGGCGCGTCCGGCAATCAGACAGCCCTCCACCAACTTGTGTGGATCGTGTCGCATGATCTCACGATCCTTGCAGGTGCCAGGCTCTCCTGCAAGGGAATACAAAATCAAAAATTGGCCTAGCAACGCAAGCCCCATTTCTCACCCTCATCGGCATTCACCACCAAGTACTTGGGGCGTCCATCGCCGGGCTTGTTCATGAAGGACCACTTCATGCCGCTGGGAAAGCCAGCTCCTCCACGTCCGCGCAGGCCGGACGTCTTGATCTCGTTAACGATCCAGTCTGCTCCCTTCAGCACGATCTCCTTGGTTTTGTACCAGTCGCCGCGCTTCATAGCTCCCTTCAGCCTCCAGTCGTGTCGTCCATAGAGGTTGGTGAAGATGCGATCTTCATCCGCCAGCGGACCGAACTTGGTCTTCGTTTGTGGCGGAGGAGTGCCCGGAGGCGGGGCCTGGGTGCTTTGGAACCGCTGCACATGCAGGCTAGCCGGCAAAGCCGCAACTGCAATACACATTCAGAGTAAATCAATAAATTGCGCAGAACACAGGAAACTTTTGTTTTGCTTTGCGCAAAAATTACATAATTTGATGGTATGGGAATCGGTTGTATTTAAGGCATGGAGAGCTTATGGCAATGAGCAGATCCTTACGGAACAAGCTAATGCCACTGTTTAGCAACTGCTTTATGGTTAGATGGCGTTTATTTACCAATCTGCGGCTTTGTTAACAAATTATATCGCACAATTGCAGCCATTTTCGGGACGACTGACTGACAGCTGAAATGTGACGTTTGTGCGCAGCGTTGCCAGATGGTCCAAATATTCAATAGTGCAGATTAATCAGGGGCTTTCCTTCGCGAAATCAGCTGTAATCAATAAAATATATTCCTTTTAATTATGAAATTAAAAATCAGGTATATCTTAAGCACAATGTAAGCCTTTTTTTTTTTATTTGTAATGTTTTGTGCCAATAAGTTTCAGTTGATGTTCATTTGAAACCTCTATTCACCAACTTACAAAACTAGTAGCCCTAGTGTAAACAGGGCTCAAGTACAAAGCCGTCAGACTGTAAATACGTCCACACTGTGTATACTCTATTATTTGTTTTGTTAAAAATGGCCCACAAGCAGAACAATGAGACAACCAATGGCACAACAACCGAAATAATTGACGAAACAGATGTCCGTGCTACATCAGAGGCGGGCCGGACCACACCCACTCTCCAGCTGCGCCTGGAACATCCGCGGGATGAACGTCGGGTGGTTTTTCATGCTGGAGTCATTGACAACGAGCATTTGAATCGCAAGAAGTCAAAATGTAAACATTGATTATTTTATCGACGGACAAGACTGATTTCCTCCCATTCCAGGCTGCTGCATTTACAAAAAACCTCTGGCGTTCGGCGAGAGCTCCTCCGAGGATGACGAAGACTGCGAGCACTGCTTTGGCCATCCGGAAAAGCGTCAGAGAAATGCAAAACACATTCACGATCACGGGGACAAACCGTGCGTGGAGGCGTCGCATCCGGACGGACCATCTACATCAATGCAGGCCGCGGACGCCAGTCACCCGCCAGCCGAACCTGTTGAGTCCCAGGCCGATCCAAAACACCCTACCCAAGGTGTTGACTTTGAGCAGACAGGCAGTTTTTAGCACATGCTCCAATTTAAATTTGTATAATTATAAACGGTAACAACATGGAACCTGTAAGCACTCGGACCTACTAACACATATGGTGTTTTTGGGCAGTAAAAACCACTTTGGGGATTTGAAATCGAATGCAGCCTTTAGTTTTTCGGCTTTAACTCAAAAGATTCGCTGACGTTAATGGGTATATTAAACTCCTTTGCCTTTGCCCGTGAGCGCCAGACCTGAGAAAAAATTGATGCTTAAGCCTGCAACAGTGGAGAAGAAGTCTTACAGCATACCTTGATTGTGTAGTCGTCGCTGGTGGTGACCAGCATCTCCGAGTCGCAAGGATTGAAGGCCACACTGTTAACCACGTCCGAGTGCTTAAACTTTGCTAGGCTAATGCCGTAGTACCTATCCCACAGATAGGCATGTTGATCTTCCGCTCCACTGGCCACATATTCCTCGCAAACATCAAGGAATATAAAGAAGCACTCCGTGCTGGGAGTGTAGGCCTTGTGGGCCCGCAGCATGTTGCCTACCCGCTTGAGAGTCATCAGGTCAATTACATGAATGTCAATCTCTTGGGCAATGGGTGGCGGCTCCAGAGGGTTCGTGATCACGTAGTTCTTCGGCCAGGGACGTGTGTTGACATACAAGTAGCGGTGGTCCGGGCTCAGTGCCATGCCAATGATGTGTCCGTGCAAGTCAATTACTTTGTCCACCTTGTCGAATCTATCCTTGACTGACTCATAATCCCACCAGTCTGGGTCGACGCGCGGAGTCTGCTGCTGTTGTTGCTCCGCGGCCCGCTTCGCAGCTATTCTTTCCTTAAGAGTTGGCCCAGGATCGAGCTTTTTCGGAAAGAACACATTGCGTATGCGCTTGAATCCAATTTGGTGAGGTGTGAAGGTTGTGGAGCCCGTTGAAAAAATTAGATATTTCGGCATACTATTCTCCATTTCGTCGTATTCCTCTTGTACGTCCATAGCGTCGTACTCCTCGTCGTCGTCTTCGATCGGTTCATTAGTGGAGGCCACCGCTTTCCTGTATTCCTCTAAGTAGTGTATGGTGGCATCTCCAGGTCTCGTTCTAGATCGGCGCTCGCTGATGTCCGGCAAATAGTTTTCTTCAGGTGTTGCGCTCCTTGTGCGTCGTAGGCTGGCTGCGTGGGACAAAGGATTGCCACTGGCCTGCGAGCTAGATCCCTGATCACCACTGGGTGGCGAGAGCACTGCGCTGTGATTTTCTTTGTCGGCGGCTGTGGCCAGGGGATCGTTGCTCTCGTCCAGCCATGGACACCTAGCCACCATTATAGCTCGGACCGAGCTGGCGTTCCTGTTGTAAAACTTATAGAGCTGGCTCATGATCGGTACATGCTCGGAGTCGATTTCTTGGTTGGCCTTGTTCAGCCACAGAACCGAGGTGCTCACCAAGTGCGCCAGCCAGTGCAGGTCGCCAGAGATCAGATATTGGTCACTGAACCAGGTACCAAATATGTCATACGGACGATTTACCACCCGACAGCGGAGGTGTGACTCTGTTGCTCCCAAATAGAATACCGCAATCTCCCCCGAAGTGGACTGGGGTGAGCCGAAGTGAACACCGGAGACGAGGAGCAAGGTGTCGCTCTGATTGAACTGCGAGTATTGGGAGTACTTCCAGCTGAACTGCTTCATGTTGTGCGCATACTTCTCCGTACACGGATGCTGGGCGTTCCAGATCTGCAAGAAGGAGTTATATGTAATGCTATTTTAAGGCTTCAATATGCACTTACTATCACATATCCATCCTTAGAGCAGGTTGCGAACATTTCCCCGTTGTGGGCAAAGCTCACATGCAGCACTTGGTGTGTGTGGCCGTGGTTATTCTCCACAGTGGGCTCCAGACGCTGTGCCTGGACAAAGGGTATGTGCATGGACAGGCGCTGGAACTCCGACCGCCAGCTATCGGCCCCCGGCTTGAGCGGAATGCTCGGGGAGGCTTTGAAGTGCTCCTGGAACTTGTGGCGCCACAGTATGTCGTCCTTGGCGATGCTGTGCCATCGAACACAACTGCGGCTCGCCCTAAGCAGATCGGCCACACTCAGCCGCTCGAAGATCATCAAGAGTGCGGGCTCCGGCAGGGCCCACCACCCGAACAAATCTTGTCCAGAGGAGCCCTCATTGCTTTCCTCCTCTTCCGATGTTTCCACCAGTCTGTCCTTTCCCAGTCGGGCCTTTTTGAAGGTCACTTCCATGGGTATATTCAGTTGGAGAAGCTATCGCTCCGTTGTACCCAGCAAGTTACAGCCGAACTGATATTTCGCCGTGAGTTTGCCCTTGGGTAATAACTGGTTTATCTTCTTTGCTTTCCGCGGCTTCGCAATTAAATATAACTTTCTCCCTTATTGTTATTGTTTGCCGAGGCCAACGGAACAGCTGTTGCCAAAACTCGACCACTCTCACTGGATTCGGTATCGATATCAGATAATTGTTATCGAAAAACAAGTGGTCATGCAATCAAATTGGAGTCTCGGACTCGAGCATTCCCAGTAATAAGTTGGCTTAAATTTGATGTTTGGCAGTTGCAATAGTTGAAAATGTTAGTCAACAAAATCATCAGCCTGAGTTGTATTACATAGACATCTAAATCAATGTAAATATCGGGACAATATAATACAATAATTCAATATACCCATTTTTTCTTAGCACTACTGAGTAAGAATGTTATGTAGAGGCGACATAGGTCGCATAGGTGTAATAGGTAAGGTAAGTTAAAATATCCTATCCACAGAACTAAAAATGCCGGCATGTCTGCGCTCCCTTAGCCCCAGATGGTGAGTCTATCCATGTACTTAGATATATAAGACCAACAGGCTTTTGATCCCCTTAGCTTTCGGCAGTTACTGCGCCAACAGGGTCGTCATCTGGGATCGTACAGCAAGGCGGTGGTGATTGCGGCAGCCGTAAGGACACCGAGTGCTCCCTTTCGAGCGGAGGAGCAGCGACTGGCGGGCCTGGTGGTGGACGAACTGGTCAAACGCACCAGCGTGCCACGCGAGGAGTACAACAAACTGATTGTTTGCTCCTCCCTTAAGACCCCCGCTTCAGAGTGCAGGAATCGGCTATCCAGCGTGGCCCAGGAGTTGGGACTCAAGTGTGAGACTCTAGCCTTGCAGGACGACGTCTGCTCCATCAGCGGTCTGCAGATGACGCTGGACTGCCTGGAGCGTGGCGAAGACCAGTGTATTATTACGGGGGACACCCGGTGCCAGGTTGTCCAGCCGGAGCACGGCGTTCTGTCCAACGAGCTTATGGCCGTGCAGCAGCCCCGGACTCGCAAGCAAGCTGGAACTGAATTGTCCACTGAACCTGAGCTGATGCCCACGCTAGGAGCCGCTGCTTTGGCCTGGACTACTTTGCAGACGGCCCAGCGTCTAAACCTGCAACCTCTCGCCCTGCTACGGGAGTTCGCAGTAGAGCAGGATCACGAGCAGGCTATGTACCGCCTGGATGGAAGAGAACCCGTGACGCCCAGTGACATTTACACATGGAACATGGTGACAGGCACGCAGAAGGGAATACCGGAAAGCATACTTGGGGATCTACATACCAACCGCCTGTGCACGCATGACTTCAAACAAATCACGGCCAGCCACCTGCTAACGCATCTGGTCCATTCTCTTCCTGCAGGCGGGCTGGGTTGCGCCTTTATGGGGACAACGGATGGCCGCTCCATGGCCATGGTCCTTGAGAAGCTGTGAGTTTTGATCTCAGATGTGCCTACTTCTACTTAGATAATTCAACTTGTAGGGTGCCCAGCATAGATCAGGTGGAGGGCCTTCCATTGCTTACTTTGTATACCAGGGAGCCGTGTCCGCTGTGCGACGAGCTAGTCCAGCAGTTAGAACAGAGCTTTGCCGGCAGATACCGTCTGGAGAAGGTTTACATCGATCAGAAGGAAAACGTTAGATTCCTCCGCCTATTCAGGCATGACATTCCTGTTCTGTTCTTTAACGGCCAGTTCCTATGCATGCATCGGCTTAACGAGGAAGCTCTAATAGAGCGACTGGAGGCACTAAACTAGACAAACGATCGTTGGAAATATTGTAAACAAACAAAATTTCAGTCAGTTACAAGAAAAATCTCTAACTTAAGCTCTAGTCAATTTTTTTTTTTTTGAATATGGGCATGCATATTGCGTATACTTTTTATTAAGTACTGTTGGACTTTCATATTATAATCCTTTGAATTTATATTTTCTATTGCAAAGCCATTATAGATGGTATATTGGGAGATTAAAATATTTCTCCCATAGGCTTGATTGTAATTTCGTGAACCTGAGGAGAGTGAATTAAATTGGCTTATATAGTAATACATGAAAATGCTATTAACTTGAGGTGCTGCTTACCTGAACATGAGGTGGCGTTCGCAGAGCATACATCACTGCGTCCGCAATGTTCGCTGGTTCGAGTCTGACCATGTCTTTTACGTAAAAATGGATCTCTTCTGGAAAGATGTTCGTGTTCACCGCCCCAGGACAGATGCCGGTAACTCGGATTTTGTTTGAGTGCAGCTGGAACTCCTGCCGGTACGTCTCTGTGATGGCCGTGATGGCAAACTTGGTAGCCGGATATATATTGAACGATGGTAAAACATCGATGAAGTTGAGCACCTGGTGTCCGGCTATGCTGTTGATGATCAGAACATGGCCTTCGCCGCCTCGCCGTTTCATGGTTTTAAACGCCTCGCGGGTACACCAGATCACGCCCATCACATTGGTGTCAATCACCTCTTTAAGCTTCTGCGTATTGCCCGCAGTTACCAGTTCCGTCTCGCGAGTGATGCCAGCATTGTTCAGCAGCACGTCGGCTCCCTCCAGCTCTCGTTCGATCCAGTCAAATGAGCTCTGCACCTGGTCTTCTTTGGAGACATCGCAGCGCCGCGGTATGAAATTGCCCTGCAAATGCGTGGGCAGACTGTCCCTGAGCTCCTTCAACTTGGCCTCCCTACGTGCCAGGCCCACCACCCGCAGTCCCGCCCCGATCATGGCACGAGCACAAGCGGCGCCTATGCCTCCGCTGGCTCCTGTTACCACAGCGAGTTTGTTCTGCCACCGCTCCATGCCGTCTGGTGAATGAAGACCTGATGCAAGTCAGAAGCCCGCATCGGGAAGTCAGGAGCAGTTCCATGGCTTCATGCTTCGCAATTGAGGTTAATCGCCAATGGTCAAATGTTGTAAGCGGTTGTAGATTCAATTATTTTGGTCTGGATCTTACGCACTTCAGGCAAGGTTAAACTCTAATTTGTATATTCTTACTTTTGACTAAAGCTAATGTTATTAGGAGCTTTAAAATAAAATAAATTTTCAACTAATAAAATAGCTCAAAAATTTACATTTCATTTAAAATTGTATACTTATACAATTAGAAAACAAGTTTAGTTGCAATGAAAAATGTAAATTTAAAATCTATATAGCTTTCTTCAAAGTACAATTATTTAGGTATATTTATTTGATTCATAAATCATAAAATCCGCAATTTGCTTTTGAATTTACGGTTGCTCCTAAAATTGTCATCGATAGTGCAAGGCTTACTATCGATATTTTCTAACCAGCAGGAGGCAAACCGAACTCCCATTACTAATAAAGTAGAAAAAACCATAAGCTTCCCGCAGGTGTTGCGATTTTCATTAAATTTGCTGCAAATCCAACCGATTTGCATTCATTCATCTGTGAAGGAACAGTTAACAGGCAAAATGGCACAAATGGATAAAGAGTTGAAGAAGGTGAGCGGAAGGCAAGTTGCCAAAAAGGCGTTTGCCGACTGGGAGCGCATGCTATCCGAAAGAACTTACTCATACCCGACTGACTTTGCCCACAGGCCTTCACCGAGATGCAGATCAATAAGCTGGAGACCACAAAAAAGATCAACATGATCGACATGAAATGCGACATGGTAAAGACGGGCAAACACAAGTACCAACTGACGGAAAAGGGCACCAGCAACTTGTCCGACGACACAAGGTGATTGGGACGAGTCAAAGATTAATCATCTTCAGATGTCTAATTGAACTGTTCTTCTTCAGAGTTTACCAATCCGTGGGTCGCATGTTCCTGCTGACCGATGTGCAGAATATGCGCGAGGACCTGAAGGCTAAGCAGGAGAAGTGCGACAAGGCGATAGAACTGCTTGAGAAGAAGAAAGAGTTTCTGCAGAAGTCACTTAAGGACCAGGAAGACGGTCTGCGCGAGCTGGTGCAACAGCGCAAGGAAGCCGATCAGACTGCGAAATAGACTACAACTCCAAAATGGCATTTATCCCTCAACGCAATTGCTTATTTATTTTCAATATACTCGTCTAAATTGAAGTTGGCGTAGCTGACAAACTCGTTCCCCAGATTGCGTTCGTGTTCCGGGCGGAAGCTGCACTTGAGCACGGGCAGGCGAGCGGTCAGCCAGGGCTCCACCACCTCACCAGAGCACAGGATCACCTTGCTTTCTTTCTGGTTTCGCTGCAGCCTGGTGATTATCTCACATGTTTTGGCTATGCACTCCTGCGACAGGAAGGGTGGGTCGGCCACGATGAGGTCATACTGGTGGTGGTGCTCTTTGAGGTAGTCTGCGTTGCTCCCTACGCAGTTCAAGTCGTAATGCACAAAATCCGTGCCGTAGGCTTCGAAACGCTGGTCGAACTCGAAGATGTGGACTAAAAGATTGAATGATAACCATCGGCAACAAGCTGTTTACTTGTCCGCTTACCTGTGTCATGTATGTCCCTGATGTCCTTGTAAAGCGATGGGCAGGAGAGAAGTGCAATACTAAAGTCACCCGAATCTTCCGTGCGTTCCGCCAGAAGCTTACGCACAACATCCCGCAACGCGTGTTTGGTTTCCGTGCTGTACCAGAACTGACTTAATTGCTGCAATCGGAGAGAAGTCACCTCGAGTTTATAAGGTATTTGCAGGTGTTCTTGCCCAATCCTCCTCGAAGTGGGCATCCTTGCCGGTCTTGTTGGCAATTTGACTCTCCTCCTCGGCTTCGCGCTTTGATCGCTCCAACAGGAATTCGTTGAGAATGGCCAAAGTGTCGGCGGGGAGCGAAATGTCGTCGTCCATGATGAATTGAAATCTTGGAGCATTCCAATCAAAATAAACTAAAATGTGCGTTTGATTAGAGGTGCGAAATTCGCGATACAAATTTGAACATATTGGGGGGATTCCATGCAATTGCCATTGGCAATTTTCAAATTGTCATATTATGATAACTAAATGTTCAGCAGTTTTTCCAGAGAAAATGTCTCAATTCGCAAGTTGAAATGTTATTTTTAGAAATAAAATATATTTCAAGCGTTTGCCTATCGTTTGCCATACCAATTCTTCGAAAATATTTGACAACGTCGTTTTATCTTATATATTACTTTTAACAATTTTAGAATTAATTATAAGTATAGACCTAAAAGAAACTTGCTTTTCAAGAAACTAGTATCGTAACTTCTACTTTGAACAACACATTTTCGAACTTGACTTTGTAGCAGAGAGATGGAAATTGGTGGCAACCCTGTTCATTTCTATCGAACTGGTTGGTTCAGCTCCACCCGTCCATCTCTAGTTCGCACGGTAGCCCCGACCAAACTGATACGTATTAATTTACCAGAAAAACTTGTGTTTAATTTGAAGTCACATCATATCAAAGGATAAACGGACTTGCCGCTAAGTTAGAGGTAAGTGGATGGACTACGAAAAATAAGGAAAACCAGTGACTCGACAGTACTGCGCCCCAGAACCAATTTTCATCGACATCCAAGTGATTAAAGGCCAACTTTCTTCGCTTGACGTCGCTTGACGTTTTGGATAAAAGTGTGCTGGCCCAGTGATTACACTAGTGAATTATGCAGGTCGGCATTTGGACTCGCTCCGCGACATCCGGGCAGGGGAGGAAGCATCCAATTTCGGAGCGCAACCAAACCGAATTTCCACAGCCCGGCGCGAAAAGCCCTGCACTTTGATTTCGTTCCCGTTCATTGCGGAGTTCAGTCGGGTCAATCAGCTTCAATTTGCGAGCGGTACCTTCCGAATCTCTGACGTGTACCTGTGTCCGTCTGAACTGCCCAATATGTGCCATAATGGCGCACATATTTTCATCAGATTGGGCTTTCGGCTCGGTATACATGAATAATGTGCGGGTGGTATGTGCTACCTAAAGTTTACTAGCTGACCCACTTCCGTTGAAGGACCCTCCGTCCACAGATCCCAATCGATACGGTTGCCCCACTGCCAGTCTCATTACTTACCAGGTAAATCGAAAGTACACGTAGGATGGACCCACTCTGTCGGGTTTACTTCATCGCCCCCTTCCACCTGTTGCCACCTGTTTGTGTTTCAATATTTTGACGTGTATTTCGTAACAACATGCACATTGTGCGGTGTCTTGCAGTTTTCTCTTCAAGTTTCGTATCGAAATTGTTGTGCTTAATGCGCTAGGAATCGTAAACCGCATACTCAAGAAATATAATTGCCGAAACGTAAGAGTACATGATAGCTTAGCAATGGCTCTACTGTTTTCTTTTTCGGTTGCCTCATGCAAAGCATTGTCCATAATGGTAAGCCAGTCATCTTGGCTAAAGCGAACATTAAAACGGCTTCTGGGCAAGCCCGTTCTCGTTTTAAGTGCGTTTGCCAACGACTTTCCATTTGACTGGTTTAACAGTTGGCCCTAACTTTCAATTTACACCTGAAGCGCGTGCCACTGAGGCAGTGAAAAGCGGAGTTCAGTCTAATCCTGGAGTCATAGAGGGCAGATCTCGCGGGCTTTCCATTAGGTTTGAGCACTAACCTATCAGATAACGCCGCGGTTACTTAGCCGGTGCTCTCTTATCTCTGCCTGTGCCCAAGATAGCAGTCAAATTCCCGCTGATAAGGCCGAAAGTAACCTTATAACGATTTTCTCTGCATTTCTGCCTTTTCATAACTGACTTGCAGACTGAATACTGAACGGTAAGCGAGCACGGAAGCTACTTCATCATGAGCACACCCACCGACCAGCCACCGCGCTCCGAGGGCGCCGAGACCAACAGCTCCGAGAGATCCTCACAGCAGCAGGAACAACCGCAGCAATCTCAATCACAGAACGTACCGGCCAAGCTCCTGCAGCATTTCCAGACAAACCGCATCGATTCCGCGTTATGGGCACTACGTCTATTGGTTATCTACTTCACCGTCAGCTACGTGCTGCCCATCTTTACGTGAGTAACGGCGTTTTCTACATTGACCTATTCTAATTTTAATTAACTTCACCACAGCTCACAACAGAGCGCATTCAGCAAGGTCCTGCTGGCCAATGCCGCCATCTCTGCCTTGCGCTTGCACCAGAGAGTGCCCGCTTTCTCGTTCAGTCGGGAGTTCCTTGCTCGACTGTTCGCCGAGGACTCGTGTCACTACATGATGTACTCTCTGATCTTCTTCAACATCCACCCATCACTGCTGGTTCTGATTCCCGTGCTGCTGTACTCAGTTCTGCACGCCTCTAGCTACTCGCTTAAGCTGTTGGATGTTAGGAAAGCTAAATTTGCAAAATTGTCACTTGTCTAATAAGAAATATACTTACAGCTGATTGGCCAGAACTCGTGGTGGGGTGCACGTTTCATCATCTCCATTGTGGAGTTCCAGGCGGCGAATATACTGAAGGCCACTGCATTCTGCGAGATCTTCATCATGCCCTACGCCATTGTGCTGACCTTCATGTGAGTTTTGATACATAACATTCGTGTAGAATGCTCTTTAAAACAGTATACGCTTTATTTTAGGAACCACGCTGGACTGATGACCCCGATTATTTACTACCACTATCTGGTGATGCGCTACAGCTCGCGCCGCAATCCCTATCCTCGCACCGCTTTTGCCGAGCTCCGTATAACCTTCGAGGCGCTGGCCGCCCGCTCCCCGGCCGCCGTGGGCAAGATCATCCGTGGAGGCATCGGGTTCGTCAATCGCTTGGCGCCGCAGCCACAGCCGGCTCCAGCGCAAGAGTAGACACGATCAGCGGAAAACAACAATCAAAAGACATATGAATAAGCCTATTTAAATACCAGTTCACTTGCATAGACGTTCACACTGGAGATTGGCGTTCATCCGCTTTATTTGTTAGCCGAAATTCGTTGCACCTTTTCGAAACAAAAATCGTTGTTTTACACCAGATTGTTTCGGCATTTAAGTTTAAATTTAACTATGTATTATTGTAGTTTTCGAGTATGCTTTTTCAATCACATGCTTTTTTCAATCACACACAATGTGGACACGCACGAATTCCGCCACGGAGGATCAAGGGCGCGTATTATTATTATATTTAAATCCCAAACAAATTTTAATTTGTTTTGCTTTAACTTATATGTTCAAAATACCGATCAAACTCAAAATCTGGACAGATAATATAATTATTATTTACATATATTTTGTATGAGTGTGTAAAGACTCGGAGAACAAAACGAAGTACAGTAAAATTAAATAAAGAATACATTTTGAGAAGGTAATTCAATTTATATATTTGTTTTTATTGAATTATATTGTATTCGTTTTGTTAGCTTTGCTCTACAGGCTAGTAAGTACGGACATTTTTCTGCGTTTTGGATTCTAAATTGGTTTCAAATACGATTTTCTGGTTTGCTAGCTTTTAATAATCTGCTAAAATTTTGAACTCAAAATTTTTAACGCTCAGTGGCATTTGTAACTGGTTTCTCCTCAAGCCAATTCAAAGATCATACCAATCTATAAATTCTTTAGCATATCTTGCTTTTAAGCGCAGACGTAATCAATCATTCATATGAAATTTATTTTAACTTCAAACAAAGTGTAAATTAAGAGAATCCTCTTGTAAAGTATACAGATATCATAGAACAAGGTCTATTTGCGGAAAACTAATTAAAAGCATTTAATTTAATACCTAGGGGCTACAAGTACAAATCGAAATCTATGCGGTTGCTAGTATAGAAAGTTGTGTTTTCGCCGCACTTTCGAACATAGACTCCGTTTTTGAAGTAGTTCTCCTGGGACCATTTCAACATTTTCTCGGTGGAAAAGGGGCCCTGGATTTCAGTCTCATCCTGTGACCATTTAAACTCCCAGGTAACCTCCGAGGTAGTCGTCGTTGGTTTGGAGCTATCATTTGATGCCTTGGACCGCTCCAATTCTTTTGTTTCGAAATCATCTGCATACATATCAATATCATCGGCTACTTTGGGTTTGCTTGTTCCTGGCAAATCTGCGATTTTTGCTTTGATGCTTTCGTAGGTATCCTGATATATATCCATATTCCCCGTCTTCGAGAGAATCTCGTTGGCCAGCTCGGTGAGCTGAGAAATTTCCTGTGTCTTTGGGTCAACAATGCCGGCCTTTTTCTGCTTAATCCTTTGAAGGGTTGTTAGGACGGGACGCTGACTTCCCAGACGCTGCAGGGCCATCTTGACGGTTTCTCCCTGTTTCATAAACTCGAGCATTTTCATCAGGTTCATAGACAAGTTAAAGGCCTTGCCCGCGGGTTCGTTCTTATCCTCATCCGAGGAGTTCGAGTTTTGGTCGTCTTTGGCCGGGTCGAAGGCGTTCTTTTGTGTGCCTATCTGTTATAGAAAATAGCTTATAAAGTAAATTGTTGTGTACAAGCAACAATGATGGAATCATTACCTTAACCCAGTCTATGTTGTCCAACCAATTGTCCTTTGCTTCCGTCTCCTTGTTCCAATGGTAGTGACCATCTTTGTCGAAGTGCCCCTCCTCCAGTTCTTCCTTCATATTAAAGGGTGTTACCTTTACATCGTCTTCCACTTTTGCCACGCCCTCCTCGCCGCCTTCAATGTCGCTATCATTGAGATATTCCCTGTGAACAAAAAATACAGAAATCAAAACAATCAATTGCTTGTAGGTTTTTAGCATTACCTTTCGTAGTCGTCAGAATCCTCTTCGTCAGAGTCAAGCGTGTGTTTTTTTAAGAATTCGTCTTGCAATTTTTGGGATCCCGAGTGCTTTCTTTTGCTCGCCATTTTATCAACAACACAAAACAAACCTTTAGGCAATATAAATACTTTCACGCGTTTATTGATTCCAATTACCTTAGGGAAGGTTAATATATGAATACATCGATAGGTAGGCGGTATATATGAACATATCGATAGGTAATTGAAACACATTCTGTTCCAAGCACAATGTTCTTATAGTTGCTAAATTGCTTTCGAAATATATTTAATTTATATATTTAATATATATTTTATATTCTATTTCATATAGAGTTTGGTTAAGCGAAGAAAATTTATACAAATTAAATTCAGAGATATATAAATACAAATACTAGTATACAATTTATCAAACTCTTTGTTTTTAAAATTATAAATTTGTCTTGAAGTTTCTACATGTAAATAAAACCCCAAAAATTATAAAAAGTTTTTTAACTACGAAACAAGTTTTAAAGTCATGGACTTTCAACTGCGCCTGCGCTGAGTTTTCACGTAAATTCTTTTCCTCCAATGTCATCCTGCTTGTTAGTGGTCCCTAGAATCAAAAGTTAATAGTTTTAATTTAACCAATCTGCTGTGTTACAATAAATTGTCAGATAAAACGTGTATGCAACAAATTCCTAATATTATGGTAACCAGCGACCGCTATAATCAAACAAAGATCCGCCAAACCAGAAGCTAACCAGAGAAAAAAGTTCCCCATCCGCCCCACTAGTAAATCCGTAAGGATTACTCCGTAAAGGAAACTTAATTCACCATATAGTTACCTGCTCAAGGATATCACATTCGATACCATGCCCATAGGAAGCATTATCAAAAAGGCTTCTAGTTTTATACTGGGTGACGAGAGATTGGACAGAAAAATCGATATTTCTTACGAAGACAACGAAATCCTCTTCTGCAAGAATAACGTCTGCATTCATCCGCCCACAATCGCCCGCGATGAGTCGGACATACTGCACAACCCGGGCTATCTGACCTGTACGACAAAGACCTTTGTGGATCAGTATAATAGCGCCAAGAGGCCCACGCTCCTGCTCACCTGGATACCGAATTCGTCGCTATGCAAGTACACCAATCTGAACACCGACGATTGCCGGGGTCAGTGCAATCCTAGGAGCAAGTCGCCGGACTCCCGAAACAGCTACTGCCAGGTGACCATACCGCAGACGATTCAGGAACGGGATATCCGAGAGGAGGACGAGAGCGCGGCGGATATGCAGGAGCTGAAGAACGAACTGCAACCGCTGCTGGGTGGCCAAACCGCATCCATAGACGACCTGACCGCTCTTCTGAAGAATAACCCCATCACATCGGTGAACATCACGATATCCAATCCGCAGATCGAGAACAGCAATATATCACAGTCCTTCAACTGCATCACCATCCGGCCGGATGGGAATAATTGCTCCGATTGCACGAATGGTTCTGGAGTGGCAGATGGCTCGGCAGCCGATAACCCAAAGTGGACGACCCCGGAACTGCTAGCCTTCAAGCACAACCTGGAGTTTCCGGATAGCGGCAATTCGACGCCTGCCGATCGCCAGAAATCCGCGATGAAGTGCCGCCATTTTTCCGTTGACCTGAGTCAAATGCGATCGCTGCGCCTTTTCTTTAACGACGACAACTGCACTTCCGGTCAGCTGGTTATCGCGTCACGGGAGTCGCAGTATAAGATCCTTCATTTTCATTACGGTGGCTTGGATCACCTGGCCCAGGTGCTGCACCAGTGGCACTGCTTTCTGCACAACATCACATCCGAAACGGGCCAGGATAAGTTCGATTTGCCGTACAGGCACTTCATGGTCTGTCGGCCGGAGGTCAAGAAATCCGAAATGCATCCGGACGAAGGCGATGTCAAGAAGATAACAACGAACTTTTTCTACGGCACGCTGCTCAATGAGAAGGGGCAGATCGAGGACGACTTGCTGCTCCGTAAGTGTGTCTTCTTTGGAGGATTGGAGAAGAGTCTGCGGAAGACGGTGTGGCCATTCCTCCTAAAGTGCTACTCATTCTCCTCGACATTCGAGGATCGCGCAGTGCTCATGGACATCAAGCGACAGGAGTATGAGGAAATTACGCGAAAGCGCCTGTACTCCATGTCTCCGGAACAGCAAATTCACTTCTGGAAGACAGTGCAGATTGTGGTGGAGAAGGATGTGGTTCGAACGGATCGCACCAATCCCTTCTTCTGTGGCGACGATAATCCCAACACAGAGGTCATGAAAAACATTCTGCTAAACTTTGCCGTATACAACACCGGAATGTCCTATTCCCAGGTGGGTCCTCGCTTCTTCAAATTGTCCTAAATATAATTGTTTTATAACCCACAGGGTATGAGTGATCTCCTTGCGCCTGTCCTGTGCGAAGTTCAAAACGAGTCCGAGACCTTCTGGTGCTTCGTGGGCCTGATGCAGCGGGCCTTCTTCGTGTGCACTCCGACCGACCGGGATGTGGACCACAATCTGAGCTACCTGCGCGAACTAATCCGGATAATGCTGCCGCACTTCTACAAGCACCTGGAGCAGCATAACGACTCCATGGAGCTGCTTTTTTGCCACCGATGGCTGCTGTTGTGCTTTAAGCGTGAGTTCACCGAAGCGGTGGTCATACGGATGTGGGAGGCGTGCTGGTCGAACTACTTGACGGACTACTTTCATCTGTTCCTCTGCCTGGCCATCATTGCTGTCTATGCGGACGATGTGGTGGCCCAGAATCTGCGGCCGGACGAGATGCTGCTGCACTTCAGTTCACTGGCAATGTACATGGACGGCCAACTGATTTTGCGGAAGGCGCGCGGCCTGCTCCACCAGTACCGACAGCTGCCGAAGATCCCGTGCACGCTGAGTGGCCTGTGCAAACGATGTGGTCCAGGGATGTGGGACTCCGAGCATCGCCCTGCGCTGGAGTGCGTGGGCCACAGTGATGACGAAAAGTGCTCGCTCTCTATTGACTAGTTATCTAATACTTACACTGTTTAAACTCAGCAATAACTATTGTTGGCGACTGATATAATTCGTCATTTACTGTTAGCAAATGTATTATGCTTTGATTTTATTTGTTTGCTGCCGTGCTTGGCTCATAAAATGAATTTAGCCTTTTACTACGTTTAAACGCCCGCTTTATTTGCAATTGATAATGTTGAAAGTTACAGATTGGTCTTATTTGCGAATATTTTATCCATTTATATTATTACTAATTACTTAAAGCTTATTTATAAACAGAGTACGTGGTTTGTAAAACTTAATTTCGCAAATAACTGGCAAATAAACGTAGTATGCAATTATTGTTTCTGGTTATTAGCTTATTTATAATCGGCTATACCCAAAATACACAAAAAATGTAAAAATAAAACAAGCAAAGTATTACGAAACATTGGAATAAAGTTCAAAAGCTGTATGGGTTTAACTCAGCTAATTAACTTAACAATGATTTAATTATGTTCTGATTGGTCCAACAGTTCTATTTGAATATTAGTTATGCTAATTTTATTTAATAAAATCGTACTTTGTGAATTAAATTAGGAATTTTCCTTTACTTAACGTTAGCGTTAGTATTGAGCATCGGATCTACGGAAAGATTCACATCTGTGGTAACTGATCAATTGGAGTGGTAAATTTAAAGTCCTCGGGGAAGAGCTTAGCTGCGTGCGGATACATAAGTTTGTACGACTGTCTAATGGTGACGTCCGCCACACCGGCTATATCACCGATCTCCTTCTGACTTCTCTTATGCTCGGATGCTTGTGAGGCCATATAGATCGCGGCTGCGGCCACCGAAATTGGAGAACGTCCCGGAACAATATCCATCTCGACGGCTTTCTTTGCAATGTGCGTGGCAGCGCGTTGAACCATATTCGGCAGGTCTAATACGAAGAATAGGTATTACTCCTGCTACTTTCGAGTTTTTGGTGTAGAGACACTTACCCAAGTTAGCGCAGAAGCGGCACATAAAGTCCGCAGTGGTTATAAGATCAACACTAGTCTCAAGAGCCTTCAATGTTAGCTTAAAGCAACGGCCAATCTCTTTTTTGCTGATCTTGCTGACAGCACATATTTCCTTGAATGTGCGAGGAACTCCTTCTTGGCGACAAGCAATATACAGACAAGCGGATGCTTTGGCATCATTGGAACGACCCTTGAGGTTTTTTCCATCATGCACCTAGAAGAAAACTGGATGAGGACTCAGCCAAATCAACCAGAACTCGACTTTCACCTGTTTGAACAAGTTGTTGGCCCGATCGACAATAGTTTTGGGCAAGTTAATGCGATCGGCCATCGAGGATATCTCCTTAAAGGCTGATATCAGAGAGCGATCAGAGCTGCTCATGGTGCGTCTGTTTTGGTACTTGGGGGCTCCAAAAGCGTCAAAGGATGCGGATCCAGTGCCCGGACCAATTATAGTGGACAAGTCCCCGCCGCTGAGCAGCGGATTCTCCGGCCCACCGACACGACTGGGATCCACGCCGCTCTTCTCGTTGCTGAAGGTACGCCACTCGGAGCCCACATCAATTACGCGGTCGCCAACCACCAGACCACACTCGGAGCAAATCATGTCGCCAGCCCTGTAGTCCTCGATCAGGGGAGATTCGGGGTGTGCGTAGCAGCACACCTTGTTGTTGTCCAATCTGGAAGCAGTAAGCCATTATCGAAGTCTGCACATTGATATAAATCTTGAAATTTACCTCGATGTCGATGCCATTTGTACTCTGTAAGCTGTATATTTTTTTAATACTCACATCAACTGGTGATGTGACTTGGCCCGATAGCTCGATAACAGTTACGCTTCACAGATATCGTATAGTCAGCAAGACAAAGTCGTTTCAAAACTACGCAGCTTTCACAATTTTTCTTAATTAATTAATAATTCATACTATTGGTAAACTACGTATACCAATAGCGGTTACAAGTTACCTTTGTTTATCAAATTCCAAATTAACTCTGGCATATTTTATATTTCAAGCTGTTTTTCTTCCACCGTTCCATAAGCAAGGCAACCCTTGAATATCGTAATTTCAAACTCCGCATAAACTTGCAAGCATGTACAAGCATTTGGAATGGTGGCAGCCCTGCTCCTTTATTGTTATGGCAACAACAGGATGCCGTGCTAAACAAATTCATTGACATGAGAAAATAATCTAGTTCCGTATTGATGTTCGTAGTTTGTACGAGTTTCGGCTGTGCAAAAAATTATCGGCCAACTTTAACTGGCCCTATATAAATTTTAAAGAGACTATACTATCCGTGGGGCAACCCGGTTACTGCACAGCAGTCGCGACATGTTCAAAAACACTTTCCAATCGGGATTCCTATCGATTCTGTACAGTATTGGCTCGAAGCCCCTGCAGCTGTGGGATAAGAAGGTTCGCAATGGACACATCAAGCGGATCACGGACAACGACATACAGAGCCTCGTGCTAGAGATAGTCGGCACCAATGTCAGCACTACGTTCATAACATGTCCGGCGGATCCGAAGAAGACGCTGGGCATCAAACTGCCCTTTCTGGTGATGATCATCAAGAACATGAAGAAGTACTTCACCTTCGAAGTTCAGGTAAGCTTAGTGATCCTCTCGCAGAAGCCAGTAATTCCATGATTTCCTCCCCTAATCAGGTTCTCGATGACAAGAACGTGCGGCGAAGGTTCAGGGCCAGTAACTACCAGTCGACAACTCGTGTCAAGCCTTTCATTTGCACCATGCCCATGCGATTGGACGAGGGATGGAACCAGATCCAGTTCAACCTGTCCGACTTTACGCGTCGCGCATACGGCACCAATTATGTGGAGACACTCCGTGTACAGATTCATGCAAATTGCCGCATCAGACGTGTCTACTTCTCCGATCGTCTCTACTCGGAGGACGAGCTGCCGCCGGAGTTTAAGCTCTTCCTTCCCATTCAGAAGCCGGTGCAGAAGTCCAATGCAATTTGTAGCTAAATTCTGTTTGCCTCATTAAATCAATTAGAGCACCTAACCAGACGGAGTCGACGATTAAAACGGCACAAAATGCACAAGACTGCCTTCCAGCACTCATTTAACACTTTATGGGAAATCACAAATAAAAATTGCATCATGTACATAAATTCCTATTGATCTCTTGTAAGTATTTCCGTGCCCGTCTCAGTTATCAGAATGGTGTGTTCGAACTGGGCGCTGCGTGCGCCATCTAAACTAATCGCCGTCCAGCCATCTTCCAGCACTGCAATATCTGCTCCGCCCAGGGACAGAATGGGTTCAATGGTGAAGGTCATGCCGGGCTGCATCTTCCCAGGAAACTCATTAACTATGATGGGCAATGCGATTTGCAATTTATTATTTTAAGCAGTCGTCGAAAGTACTTACAATAGTGGAGTATCTCCGGGGGGCCGTGGAAGTAGCTTCCGATTCCGTGTCCTATAAAGGCAGCTATCGATGCGAGGTCATGTTCGTCGCAATATCTGTCTATGAACTTTCCAATCTCATTGAATTCGACGCCGGGACCGCACAGCAAAATGCACTGATCCAAACAGGCTTTGGTAGCCTCCACAAGGAAGCTTCCCCGCTCGTCCACGTCACCCACCAAAAATGTTTCCGAACAGTCGCCATGGCAGCCGTTCAAAAAGACTGTGACATCAATATTTACAATATCGCCGTTGGCCAACTGGCGGTCATCTGGAATTCCATGACAGGCGATATTGTTGATCGACGTGCAAATAGACTTAGGGAAGCCGGCGTATCTTAGGGGTGACGGATAGGCTTTGGACTCCAGAATTCTTTCGTGTGCAAATGCATCAATCTGGTCGGTGGTTGTGCCAATTGTTGCACGTTTACCACACTCGCGTAGTATTCTGGCCGCTAGTCTTCCGCTCAGACGCATTGCATCAATCTGATCCTGCGTTTTGATTTCGGGGGATCCCAGCGTGTTGCCCGGTGGCATATTCTTGAAGTAGTACGCCGGTTTCTCGATCTCCTCGGGAACACAACGTTCCGGGGAAACCAGGCCGGTGGACACGATCTGTTCATATTTGCCAGTATCTCTGCAAGTACACCCATTAGAATAAAGTCCTGGATAGAAAAAGTGCATCCCATACCCCTTAACTTTGCCGAAATGAAACAAGTTCCTGGCAGGGGTTTTATGGCTCATTAACCGATTTAAAAACCCAATTCTTCCCATTTTGTTTTGATTATGACATATTGGCAGTGTGACCGTGTCTGAAATAGTTTAATAGATAACAGCTCAGTATTAATGGTATTCCCCGCATTTTTGATGAAGGCACTGTGGTTGTTTTTGAAATCTGAAAAATATGAATTAGTCTATAAGATTATAAAATTATAATCCGACCTTATTTTGTACTTCCTAATCTACTAAATAAAAGAAAATTTAATTGTTTATTTTACTTTGTTTATAATATAATATCTGCAAAAGTGTTTAAAATATTGTTTATGCCACATTAGGTTCGTATTGTATCCGTACATGATCTCCATTTAAATTAAATTTTTGTTTGGTTAGTGCGACTGCCAAGCGTGAACGGCGAAAATAGGGTGTTGCAGAAATGTAATACATCTTTTCGGAATTCAATAATAGTTGTGCAACGTAGCACATGGAGTTTCTACGATCCTGCGGCCTGTTTTTCAAAATATGTGTATTATATGTTGACATCGCTCATAATTAACTTTACTATTAGCCACACAATAAGACTTAAACTTACTCGGATTTTTAGGATACAGTTGGCTTAAAAGCTATTTAATGCATAACTTTAAATTCTTAATTAAACAAAGAAATCTAAGACTTCTTTTGTGATACTATTGCGAATCAGATAAGCCTCCGCGCAAAAGAGAAAAACATGGTTTAGATTTTGTTAATTAACGTTATCTCTTACTGGAGTAATGTTTTAATATTTTTGGATTCTAAAATTTGTGATAGCCGAGTGTGTGCAGTTCGGAAAACGGAGATTAATACATTTGTCACATTTCCAATGTACGATGTCGGTATTGCAAGATAGTTTACTTTCGGTGTTTAGGTTTATTTCTCATAAAATAATTACAACTTAGGCGCTGCTCTCGATTCTGTATCTTTTGTATAATATGAACGAAATACGCGTTGTCAAACGGCCCGTGGATCGCTCGCTTGTTTACTTTGACCTCGATTGATGATGTGTACCGACAAAATACAAATGCCCCACATCAATGCACTTATCCGCTTATGCCGGCAGCTGGAGCTTCTTGCCCTTAAGAACTTTGGTAATGTATAAGTAGAAGAAGTCGCAGTACAAAACGGTCTGGACAACTCCGGCGAAGATCGCGATGAGGTCGTAGTGCGACTCGACCATGTACCGGTACACCCAGTTAAGCAAGTAGAGTGCGCGGTATGATCCCAGGGCGAAGAGGTAGTGGCTGGTGATGGACTCGGCCTCGCCGGTTCTGCTCACGAGGAACAGCTGCGGCAGAATGGCCACCGACTCCAGATAGATCGAGAAGGTCCAGAGCACCTCCATCACGGTAAATTCATGGTTGATCACGAGAGCGAGCAGGGCACAGGGCACCAGCAGGAATTCGATGCGGAACGAGTCGTGATTGTGGTCGTATGTGGCCTTAAACTTGACGTACATCAGGTACACGGTGGCACCGGACGTGGCCAGGAACAGCACCTTCATCACCGAGTTGTACAAGCTCACGTAGGTGGTGAACAGGTCCAGGTATCGCGTCAGATAGACCACAGCGAACAGGATCTGTGACTTGCCCGATATTCCGGCGCACGAGCGGGTCTTCCATATCTTCAGCAACAGTATTATGATGGCAAACACATGTGATAGATCCCCAGCAAAGCGAAAGATATTCATCCTGATCTAATCCGCCGACTTGGCTACTTGGCTGTCCGGTTGGCTGCTTGTTTGTTGTACTTCCTTTTGCTTTCGCCCTTTCGCTGCGTCTCGGAACGCACGCCTATATGGAAATGGTATACTGTAGCATGAATGGCGGTATCCAGTGTTTCAACAGCTGCATACGTTACCAAAATTGCTTTTCGCCTAATTTGCCAACGAGTAGAAAACTGAGGGCTTTGCCGCTTCCTCAAAAAACTTCTCAGAATGTCAGCATAAACGAGAGAGCCGAAGAGAGTTCAAATGACGTGGCCGCATGTGAGCGCTGACTCGCGGTTCCGACCTATCGCCTTTGTCCAGGGATGGCACTCGTTCTTCGCTGGAGAAGTATTCGATAACTTAGAACATTTGCAATAAATATATATTATGGATATAAAAAAGTCCTTTCTTTTGATATCTGATGTACTGTCAAGATTTAATAAGTGTATATAGACTACTGTCGGGGTATTTAGGAAACAAACAACGTTTGCTGATAAGTACTTTTAAAAGAAAACAGCTATTCCATGATACCACTCTGCGACCAAACAACTAAATAAATGTAATTGCTTAGACGTTCAAAATTATGATACACAAAAATAAATCATTTCTTTAAAATAATTTTTAAGTATATTTAGTTTACAATATACATTAAATAACTTAATATTTTAAGAACATTGCGTGGCTACTAAAATAAGTTTGTATTATATGTCGCTACTACATAAAATAAAAGCAATAAATAAAATGTATACTCGATAGGTTCAATAGAAAAATACCAGAAAATGCTGACTAGAGCAAACGCCATTCGATTTATTCTTTATGCTTATCGAAAAAAGCCGTGCTGAGGTTCCGGCATCTGTATTTTATTTACCAGCGGCATAATTAATATAGAAATCAAATAAAATGGTGAGTAAAAAAGAAGTGCTAAACATTAAAGTGCAATGGTTATGATTTGCTTAGTTATAGTAATCTATAGTTTCGCGGTTACGATTTCATATTTACATTGGCTTATACATACATACAACCATGCATGCGAATAAATAAAACAATTTGTTTTTGCTAATTAATTACTTCTTAGATCGGTTTTAAATTAAATTCAGAAATTTGCCATTAAGCTGAATTTGAGCTTCCATGGTTTTATTACGATATTGGTTATAAGTACCGGCTTTTAAAAAAGGAAGAAATGGCTTGCAAAAGATGGCGCGATTTTTATTCATGCTATTGTATTTCACGATTAAATCCCTTGAACTCCTTTATTTCAGACGATCGGCAAGAACAACAAAATGATTCAGCACCTGAATTATCGGGTGCGAATCGTGCTACAGGACTCGCGTACCTTCATTGGCACCTTCAAAGCCTTTGACAAACACATGAACCTGATCCTCGGCGATTGCGAGGAGTTCCGGAAAATTCGCTCGAAGAATTCCAAGGTGCCGGAGCGCGAGGAGAAGCGCGTTCTGGGCTTTGTATTGCTGCGGGGCGAGAACATAGTTTCCCTGACGGTGGAGGGACCACCGCCGCCGGAGGAGGGCCTTCCCCGAGTTCCAATTCCGGGAGCAGCTCCTGGCCCGGGAATTGGTCGCGTGGCCGGACGCGGAGTGCCCATCAATATGTCCGCTGTGCCAGCGGGTCTCCAGGGTCCTGTGAGAGGTGTGGGCGGACCCGCCCAACAGCACATGGCTCCGATGGGACGAGGTGTACCCCGAGCTCCGATGATGGGTGCCCCGCCACCGGGCATGATTCCCGGCGGCATGCCCTCGATGCCAGGAAACATGGGACGTGGTGCTCCCCCACCGATGCGCGGTCCGCCGCCCAGCATGATCCGTGGAGCACCACCACCAGGCAGGGGTGGTTATTAAGTATAAAGTAAAATTTAATAAAAACTCATTTAGAAAACCCTCCTTTATCGATGGATTCGTGTAGTTATGTGTTTAATGTAAGCATACGTACGTACAATGATTATTGCTTTACATCAAATATATGAGAACCGATCGGGAACTGGATTTTGTCGTTGCCAGCCACATCGTTCGTTAATTGGGTGATCCAGTTAAGACCGAAACGCCTCGTGAATGATTATACCTTTGGTACGTGCGTGTGCGTACAAGATGTTTTATGCCCAGATGTTGGAGAGATCCCAGATCTTAATGAGTCTGTCCTGGCCCACTGTCAACAGGCGCTTCCTGTCCTCGTCGAGGTCCATGTAGACAATCGAGTGCTTGGCGTCATTGAATGATGCCAGTGAAGGGCGCTCGACGGTCTGAAGTTGTTTGTAGCACGGATCACAGGTACGAACATCAAACTCGAAGCCCATTATGGGTATGTTAATACGATTGGTGGAACAGTTGTCGCACACGGCCTTGCCGCAGTGGCGACAATGATGCTGCCGGATTCCTAGCGGACGAAGATTATTTGTAAAACATGGAGTAACTCGACAATCTTCATCACATCCTACCTAGCTGCTTTTGATCCATCATTGAGCGGAAGTTCCAGAAGAAGGGCCTGGAGCAAAGCTGACAGTTGTTGGAATCCACCCAGCCAGGAACTTCTTTCCGCATTGCATTCATCTCCCAGAAAACCACTACAGAGTCTTCGCCACAGCTTATCAGTTGTTGAGTGTGATTCGCGTACGACAGGGCGGAAACTTTATTGCTACAAAATCAGAGGTGCCGATAAGTATCCAATTTATTAATATTATTGAAGAACGAAGATACCTATGTCCCTGTAACTCGTAAATAGTGCCACGTTTTCCACCAACATCCCAAACTATCACGGACTGATCGCATGCGCCACTGAATAAGAGCTGGGGGCCTTCCACCCATCTGAGGCACCGGATTTCCGCTAAAAATGTATTTATTTTTTACCAATTTATATAATTGAGCTTATTAAATATATCTTGTTTAAATATATCTTGTTTACCTGTATGTCCTTTGAAAGTGGTAATCAATTGCACTCCTTGAACATCACACCTTAGCATTGTTATTTGCCCAGCATGATCGCCCACGAATGCATACTTCGCTAAAGCGTCAAACCTAAACATGGATTATAATTGAGGAAATCCACGACGGACTTAATTATCTGTTGCTGATATAGAATATTTCGAACACATTCCTTCAATGTGCAAAAATGAGTTTACATAAAATGAGTCAGTTGCCACGTCATTAATATAACCACGTATAATTTGAATTTAAAACCTTGCTAAAGAGGGCAGCCTAATCAAATTAAATGACCCGCTTATCCTATATCAAATGTTGCTCTCCTTTCATTTATTATACTTACTGGAGAGCCGTACATGGTGTCTCAAAGTTGTATCCGCCCACCCGTTTGCCGCTCTCCGTGCAATGATAGGCGAACTGCTTATCTTTGCCGGCAGAGAGTACCCACTTGTGGGTTTTCGAGAAGACCACGGCTACGACACGGGCTTGATGGGACAAGTAATCCCGCAGGAAGGACAGGCGATTGCAGTCTTCGGATAGTGCATACTGGGTGACCGTTCCGTTCTCCTGGCCGACGTACAGGTGCCGAGATTCCGGTACATACTCGATGGCCGTGCAGCCGGAAGGCATATACTGGCAAATGCTCGGCCAATATTGGCCAGAATCGCGTTTTAGCCAAACACGAACGGTTCTATTGATAAAAACATGAAAATGTAAGGAATACATTTGTGTATCTAAGGGTATTATTAATGGGCTACAAATACGCACTTGTCATCGGAAACGCTAATTACACCGTTTTCGCCCGGAATTAAGATTGCTGCGTTCACATCGTCGCTGCTGCCCTCTAGCTTACTCAGCAATTCCGGCTTTTTGGAGGTGTTAAAGCGATCATTGTTGGTCCGCTGAGCTGGTTTTATCTCGGCAGCCATAATTTTTAAGGTGGATCCAGCCCGATGGTACGCCTACGCCCTATTTTACGCACTCGAAGATAATGCGGCTATAAACAAACTGATTTTTGGACTGGGGGATGTGAATTGAGATACGTGATTCACAATCAATTAATGAAACAGTGTTATTTTGTTTAACATTAAATATATTATACTAAACTTTGTTGTTGGAAAGCTCGTCTAGATAGCGCCGCCAAGTTTAGGCTTGCTGCGGAACAGTGGAATCGATGAAATACCAACCGAATATAAAAAATAGTATTATTTTGCTACTTACAATACGGAAGGTGCTTTAATTGATGCTGCTTTCAATGCTCAATGCATATGCATGACAGGATTATTTATTTTATTATTTTTTATTATTATTTATTCGTCGAATTACAAGAGTATTTTTCAGGTTATTATTATTATAAATTCATGCTTTATGTTCATGACATATTTGCAACTTACAACTTTTTTAATGTGTTTAATTTTTTATAAGTTAAGATTTCTTAACGCAAAAAGTGCAGTAAGCTAATTAGGATAGTCCATTGTATTGATCAGTGGAAACAGCATTTCCGCAGAGATGTTTCTCGTGGAATTGTGGTACAAATAGGCACTGTTGTATTTATTGCCTTTCAAAATACTTTCCCGCCAATACAGTCGAAAAGGAACACAAAACATGTTTTTCATTTTAGACAATATTCTTAATAGGACCCTAACACGTGAATCTGTCCAGCGAAACTAGTCTAAGCGATCCTCCTCAAATGGAGGATAACAAGGAGCTGCTATGTCTGATATGCAAATATTCGGACAGTGACGACCTTGTCTTCGGCGAATGGATGAGTGTACGCAATTTGCAGGTACACTATTTTTGCCTGGTAAGTGCGGCTGTTCTTCTGAAATGGAAAAATCTCCCAACAGTGTATCCTTCCTGATCCGATCCACCAGCTCCTCTCAACTCATTTGCCGCAGCGCGGCGGCGATTGCAGCGGAATCCTAGGCTTTCTGCTTCGTGACATCCGCGAGGAGGCAGCCGCCGCGGAGAAGAGGATATGTTGGTATTGCAATAAGATAGGGGCCAGTTTGCAATGCGATCGCTGCCGAACATTGTTTCATTTGAAGTGCGGCCTGGAAAATCGCGCTGTCTTCGAATTTTGCGGCCAATACAAAAGCTACTGCTACAGATGCAGGCCGATGGATGACTACAAGCAACAGGTACATAACAATCCGCCGAGGAACTACACTTGTCCCATCTGCTTCAGTTCTATCTATAAAGTTGAGCTCCATTGCGTTGTGTACGGAGACTGCTGCCGCCGTGGATTCGCCCATAAGAAATGCATGCGTCAATATGCCCTGACTTCCGGATATTACTTGCGCTGCATTTGGTGTCGTTCAGAAAGTTTCCGGGATTCAATACGCCTGCAGTCGGTTTTCGTGCCCGATCGCGATGCCACTTGGGAAAAACAACGGAACGCCTATAGGGAGCTCCACGAGCGCAATGTGAAATGCGACCAGCCCAACTGTTTGTGCCCCAATGGTAGAACCTATAATAGATTATCGTGGGTGATTATATCCTGTACTTCTTGTGCCGCCACTTCTGCTCATCTAAAGTGCTTGGTGGGCACCCTGAGACTGCCCAAGAAACACGAGCGAACAGATTTCAAGTGCGCTATGTGTCTGGATGTGGAGAAGAGGATCGCTGAACGGCCGACTCGCAACACAGAAAAAAACCATGCTGAAAGCGACAACCAGGTGGATAGCTCTTTTTACGTTCAAAAATTTGGCCCCGATGCTGCAACTCGCTCCCTAACCCAGACTCCTGTTTTCTCTGAAGACGAAAGCGAAAGAAGTAGTAATATCACGGTGATATTCAGCCAGTCGAAACCTATTGAAACAAGCGAGAGGTTATCCTTATCGCCGCCACCGGAGGATCTGATTGTGGAAATTCCTGATTCGCCGCAGACGTCGCCACAGCCATCAATCGATGAGCCACACTCGCCGCCACCAACAGCATCAAACGAAAGCTCATGCCCACCGCAGCCAACAGCAATAAATGAGATGCCCGACTCACCGCAGCCAGTATCCAGGACACCCGAGTGTAAGCAGGCACCATGCGTATCACAGATTTCCGACTCTCCACAGCTGCAGGAACAAGCTGTGACAGAAGCTTTCAAGTCACCGCCAGTGCCGAAAGAGGATCCGAATTCTTTGCTTGTGCTAAAATCGGGCTTTCGCTGTCCCGACGAACCATTTTTCTACTTAGTTATCTACGAATTTGAGCAAGGTACATGCATGGGTGAGTGCACTGGTACGTGTGTACTGCGATTTAAAGATAATGACCCGCGCATTCAGGACACCTCGCAGGCAGCATTGGAACGTCTCAAGATAACATCCGACGATGTATGGTGCCGTAGCGAGGAGCGAGGCGTCTTTGAATACATCAAGAAGTTCCACGAATGGTACGGATCAGAGGGATTCTCTTAAATATTGATTATTCAATTTAGAACAATTGGAAACTTTGTGGTAGAATTAATTCGTCGCGGAATTCTAGTCGATTTATGCAAATATTGTTTCGGGTGAATTATAATCACAAATTACAATATATTTTCTACCTCCGAAAGACCTATTAAAAGTTTCAATGATTGTTAAACTAGAGGAAGCATGCAGTAAATAAGTTGTGTACATTTTTTATGTTATTGTATTTATATTAAAATTCTACAATATTATATACTATTATATTCCAATACATTGTTTTACTTCTCCATTGAAACCATATCTCGGCAAATGAAGAAGGCTGCTACTAGCGCTGCCGTTTGAGCAACTTCTGTACATCCTTTGGCCAATCTTTCTTCGATTTGGGCTAGCTTTACAATAAGTTTGTTCATGACCGACATGGGCAGCTCAACTGTGGGGAATACACATCTAACTGACCATCATGAGGATATAGTTATAGTACTTACGTCTCATAACAAACAAATGCAATTCTGTTATAATATCTTCCAAAGCGAGACCTCTTGCGTACTTGGCACTTTCGACAGCTATGCAAAGGTATAGAAGGTAACATTAGGTTTTATGTTGGGCATTCCAAAATGCATTATACTTTTAAAGGAGTCCTCCAAGCTATTTCCAGATAGCAAGGCCTTCAATATCTGTTCGATATCCTGCCTTAACGGATAGCCCACGCACATGTAGACGTTGTCCTCGTTGACCGTATCAAATGCCATTACGGTACTCTGCAGGACGTTTAAGACCTTTCTCATATCACCTTTGGCAAGAGTTAATAGTGCCCGCTTTCCGTCGTCAGTTATCTGAACGCTGATAGCATTGTAGGTTAGTGAAAAGCAATTTAATGCTATTAAAAGACCTTACGCTTCGGCCTCAATGATTTTTTCCAGGCGGGGCATCATCTGATCCTGAGATAATGGAGCGAACCGGAAACGAGTGCAACGCGACTGCAGGGCCGGAATGATTTTGCTCAAATAATTGCAAATCACACAGAACCGCACGTTGTCCGTATATTTCTCAATGATGCGGCGTAGAGCATTCTGGGCATCGTTGGTCATGGCATCCGCCTCGTCCAAAATGATCAATTTGAAGGTGTCGCAAAAAATGGTGCGTGTGGACGCGAAATTTAGAATTTGGCCGCGCACAATCCCGATTCCTCGGTCATCCGAGGCATTCAGCTCCAGAACCATGGACTTGAACTGCTGAGGAGAATATAATTGGCGAGCGCATGCAAGGATTGTGCTCGTTTTTCCGGTGCCAGGTGGTCCGTAAAACAGTAAATGGGGCAGCTGCTTGCGGCTTATAAAGCGGGTTACTAGAAGTACATTCAAATGCTGTCAGTGATGGCTTTATTTGGCCTAGCGCTCAAAATGCTCACTTGTTGATATTATTTCCTCGTGGGATATCAAATCATCAAGTCCGCTTGGTCTGTACTTCTCCACCCTGAACAAATGAACATAGTATTACTTGTGGATCTTTAAGGTCAAATTACAAGTTACCAAGGCATGCGCACTGCGGGTCCACTGGTCTCCGACATTACTATAAGGTAAGATGTTAAATGAAATGAAATACAATTAAATCTGGGTGGAAGCCAATGGCAAATACAGAATTGCCGGTAAAAAGCGATAGTTCGATGAATGTCTAGATAGCGGAAGAAAAATGGTATTGAAAAAGAAAATTGTTAGGGGCCATCGACTTATCGATTTATTTTTATCTCATGCGTAGACTATCGAATTTAAATATTTACGGACTAGAATAATTTAACATTGGCTTCCTTTTTTGTTGACTTATTATTATTAGTTATTTATTACATTCCATTAAAGTAAAAGAAATCAGCAATAACACATTGTTTTTTTTTTGTAAATTTTAATATAACGAGTTATATTATTCAGTATACAGTTTTCTATAAACTACATGATGTAATCCAATAAAATACATGTATTATTAGAAAATGCTTTAAAATAAATTAATTCACAATAAATGTAAAATAAACATATCCAAAACTCGGGTCAACATTTTAATTCCAATTCGAAAGCTGGTGCATCAAGCTATTATAAGAAAACATAAATTGTTGTATATTTTATTATTGTATATTTTAAGGCATAATATTGTCCTAAGTCTCTTATAAAAATGTATTAATACATTATTATAATATTCTCTAAAATTTGTTTATTTTGAACAAATACGCGGACACCAATTGCAAAAGACCTTTACTCGGTATTCACAAAAAAAAAAAACGAAAGCACTAGTATGTTAGTTTTAAATAAATATAGTACTAGTAATAACTTAGTAATAACTAAGTAACTTATTGACACTGTCTTTTGATTATTTGTTCGCAAGCGGATACCAATGAATATATTTAAATTCCAGCCGCGGCTTGTGCCACATGACCTCATCTTCGATTGCACGATCACGTCATTTTATTAAAAGTCTGTTGGATGAAATCATAATTTTCATTATGTAAAAACAGGTATTTAGAAATAAGTAAAGCTTACTTGTTCTGGAAGTTCCGTGTCCCCAAAAAGAAGATCTTGCCGCTTAGCGGTACGTCTACGCACTTTGGGGCTCTTATCAAACCTAATGGAATAAATTACATATTATTTTAAACTATATGAAATACTATCATTCTTACGGATCTGAATTTCCCATCGGCGAAGGACTTCTACTCGTCGTCCTGCGCATTTCCACTTGGTGGTACTCTGCATTTTTATCGTCCTGCGGGATGTCGTATGTTGCATTGCTGATCAAAGACTTTTGTGAACCTGGATTTACACTACTTGTGAGGTTACTGCCCTTGAGATTTAAGGAGTCAAATATGTCGGCTATGTGGACATTACTGTTTTGTGATAGGAAATGCTGCAGGATTTGCTGTTGAATGCCGCTCTCTTGCTTAACTTCCTTCAGCAGCGATTCCTTCTCTTGCAAATGCGATTCGGCAATGGCCAAATTGCACGACATGACAATGGAGGTGTCGGAGAACTTTTGTAAAATGAACTTGGCTTCCGCCACGGTTGACACTTCGTCCAACAGACTTTGTATCTTATTCACATGGCTCTGCACTGTGTCCTTTGTGTCCTCGAATTCCATTATAGCCTGCTGCACATGCTCTATATTCTCCTGAATATAACTTATGTTTGTCCTCAGATTGTCAACTTCGTTGAAGTCATCTGTTTGCCTATCAGCAATTTGACCGCTTTCCATTACATTTAGCTCCCGGGAGAGATCTTCTCGCTCCAATATCAAGCGTTCCAGCTCCTTCTCCAGTTGCGTGATAAGCTGCCTGTTTCTGGCAGCATGCAATATGTTGCGGTATAGATTATCCCATCGATGTCGAGCGGTTCGAGAGGCAAAACCATCAAGGGTGGCAATTTTCGATGTTAGGTGAGCAGGTGCCCTCTGGCCGGACTTTCCCCTTTGGCTCTTGCGAAGGGCAATCACTTCCTCGGTTTTTCGTTTTAAAATTTGCTCCTTAGCACTCACTTTGGCCTCTAGAGATAGAACAGCATTCTTCTGACGGCGCTGCTCCTTCAGCAACTGAGCAATTTCCTTTGATTTGCGACTTTCCTCCTGCTTATGCTGGCTAGATTGTTGTGACATCTTCTTCATTAATTTAACCTGGGCAATTGGGAGAGTTGAAGTTTTTAATTTGTACAGATTCCAAATCAACGTCAGCTTACCTTTGTGAATTTCAACGCATTCAACTCATTGCGCAGCGTGCCAATTTTAACTTCATGGGATTTAAGTTGTTGCTGGCTTCGAATATGTTCCTTCTGCGCGTTTTGTAATTTCCTAATCTCAACTTGCATATGACTTATCTTGCTTTCATAATCTGACTTTACTTTTTTTAAACTATCCATCGATGGCGTTGACACAGATGTAGCTGAAACATCATTGCAATCGTTAATCATTATAATAGCTATGCTCTTTTTATTCAATTGCATACCCATATTGGCCAGGACGTCGTCTCGTTCTTTTTGTGTATTCTCGATTTTACAATATAACACAGATAGTTTTTCCTCGTAATGTATTCGCATAAGTTCGCATCTGTCGTTGGTCAATTCCAATTGTTCAATCAGTTTGGTTCTCATTTCAATATCATTATCGATGGCCTCCAAATCCTTTACTACTTCCTCTGCTGTGAGTATAATTTTAACTTATAATTTATATTCGAATATGTATTATTATTACTACCTTCAGAATCGCTACTGGCAACTTCGGCTTCCTCAGAGCTGACATTCTGATTTTGAATTCCTGGCAACGAACGCGACATGAGAAGCTCCCTTTCTCTTTCCAAATCCCTTTTAGCTTTGGTTATAATATCGCCTTCATTTGGAGTACAGAAAGGAACAAATTATAAATGGATTATTATTATCAGAAGACCTACCATCATAAACGGGCTTTGTGTTTCTAGGTGAAGAAGCGGCTTTAATTTCCATTTGCTTACGATGCTCTTCGGACTCTATTAGTTTGGTCTGGAGTTGTTCGATTTCCAGCATGTATTGGCCCACCACTTTTGTTATTTCAACGTCGGAATTGTCGTTACTAGTCCACTTATTTAAATCCAAGTTGGTTTTTAGATCTGCATTCCTTTTGGTCAAAGTGGCAACTGTGCTTTGCAACGATTTTAGTCTCTGCTGGAGCCGTTTGATTTCCGATAGAAGCAGCCTATTCTCGTTGAATGTGTCCGAAATGGTGGTATTACCCTCGCAGTCCACTACAAGCTTACCCTGGAGGAATAGGCATGTTCGAGTTATAAATTAAGTCAAGCCTCAACTAAATAAAGGTATTACCTGTTTATACTCTAATAACTCCAACTGCAAAGCTGCGATTTCCCTACGCAGCTGAGAAATGGTTCTAGAACTCTGGTCTTGGTTGAGCTTAACTTTGTTTTTAATATTTCTTGCTCGGTTGGCGTACTTCAGCGTATTCAGGGTCTCCATGAAGTCTCGATCACTTGGCGACACACAGGCGATCATTAAGGTCTGGCTATTACCGCCCAGGGAGTCCTGAAGAAGTCGCGTCAGCTTGGAGTCCCGATAGGGAACGTGCAGAGCCCTTTTAGATTTGTCTCCGAGAGCCGAAATACAATTACCCAGAGCGAGAAGTCCGCAGTTTATGGATATGCCCTCGCGAGCCCGCTCGCCAGTGGCCTGCGTTCTCTTGAGCCTTTCCGAACCCGCCAAGTCAACGAAATGAAACTTGGAGGTCATGGTTTCCAGGTCGTTA